GCACGACCGGCACCGCCGCGGGTAGGGCCGCGCCGCCCGCGCCGGGGGCCTCTCGCCGTTGCCGCCTGCCCCTGCCTCAAGCCCCGCTTCCTCGACCGCTCCCCTCTTTCCTTGCTCTCCTTCTCCACCTCTTTTTCCCTCGGCAGCTCCACAGGACTTTCCGCGCCGCCTGCCCGGAGCTCCCGGCCTGCCTTTCTCGGCCCCTTCTGCCCTTCCCGGCCCCTTCTGCCCTTCCCGGCTCCCTCCTCACGCCGCATCCCGCAGGCCAGGGAGCCACCTCCCTCCCGCTCCCCTTGGTCCGTGAGTCAGCTAGTCAGGAGGGTGTTCTCCTGGATCAGCTACTCTCCAACACCAGCAGCCCGTTTTCCACCTTCTTCCTTATTCTTTTGTTTTCTCCAAAATCCGAACACCTCCCTTTTCAGCGCTTCCTAGAAGTTAACGCTTTAAGGAAAAAAAGCACAAGGTGGTGTGGAAATTGGCAGCACCACCGTTGGCTATACCAGAGGTGCCTTGAGCTTTTCTGGAAAGAAAATCTCTTCCCAGTGCCGGAGCAACTGGCAGCCCCCCAGCCTGTGGCGCTGGGCGCGCGGGCGAGCGCCCGTGGGCACCCACGAGCCTCGGAAAGACGCGCCCGCAGTCGGGCTACGTGAGGATAACAGCACACGGCTCTTCTTGTGCACATCAATGCTGGTGTATTTTTATACAGATAGATGCAGGCAGAGCATATGGCAAGTATAATTGTGCACATTTGTTGGCTCGCATGCACGCATAGCTGTGGGTATGCATACATCTAGGTTTCGTCATGCAGTGAAGACGGAGCAACTGGAATCAGCGTATGATTCGTAGTGCATTCATATGTCTTTTATAGACTGTGCATTTCTCCTGTAGGTTTCCCTGCTGCATTTAGGTACATGACGAGATAAAATTTCAATTGCTTCTGGTTGATTTTTGGCCATAATCTGAGCGGTGCTCCTTCTAAATTTACCGATTTATCAAAATCTCATTCAAAAACAGCACAGGAGTTAGGCTGCAGGGTGGTTAGCTCATTGCTGAGGTGCAGCTTCTACCCTTAGGTATTCCTCTCGGGTCTTTCCCAGATGTAGTCCACAAACAACCCTTCTCTAAAGGAGCAGTATTTGTTGTCAGAAGGTAGTCAGGTTCTGCAGCCTGCATTTGCCTGCACTGGAGATTTTTCCTTTTCTAAACCATCTGGATTCGTAATTGGTGTGATGTGTTCATCCTCAGGTCTAGGCCTAGATCTGTCATGCAGGTATCCGTCTCCAGGCTTTTGCCTCTAGTGTTTTGAATCTCAGCATGTTGGCTTTTTGTATTGCTTCAGCAGCCAGTTGCAGTGCCTTGCTATTTTTAAGCTTTTCATTTATAGCTTCAGACTTTTTTTTTTTTTCCCCCCCTGTAGCTGATGTGTATTCTTACTCTGAAGATTATCCCCTCTAGGCTCCCTAGAAGAAAAAATGCCACTCAGCTGCTTCAGACACCACCAAAATTGCTGATAATGAATGCATTCATTTTATCTTTTGCTTGGGATCTGGGGATGCTGAATTTGATCTGTTTGCAATGTCATGCCAAGTTATGAATTCTTGTGTCCAGTGTCTCCAAGCCTTTCTTTACTCTGGAATATTTTGACCTGAGTAGGCTCTGTCTTACTCAAACTGGTATTTTGCAGATGTCACCCAGGTCCACACATAACTTAGTTGGCATGAGAACATTTTCTCATCCAAAGAATTCTACAGTGTTGGTCATGGAGATGGAGAACTAGCTACCTGGTTGTTGATCCCAGAAGCTGCTGGTAGTGATGATCCATCCCAAAATCCCAGGTTCCCCGAGAACATTGTGTAACATGAAGCTCCCAGTATCTCTGTATCCTCCAGCAGACTGGAATTCTGATTGTTAGCAGATGTTCAGGCAGCTAGTAAAATCATAGGTGATTTGTGATTACGAATATTCAGAGTTATTTCTCCTTTGCCTCTTATTGTTTGATAAGCCAAAATTGGAACTTGTGCTGCTTGCAGAACCAGTATTAGTCTAGTTGTTCCTAGGAGTTTCTGAAGGTAATGACTGTTACAGATGCTTTCCTAAATGCTCTAAGGACTTCTTGCTGTGTCATTTGTCAGGCTGCTTTTCCTGGCATGGGCTGAGATCAAAGTGTTCTCGTTATTAGAGAAGCAAGAAAACCAGCTTCCACATGGCAAGTACGTTCTGTTTTAGAAAAACAAAATTGTCAGCTTCATTATTCCAATGCTGACAGCCTTTGGTGTTGATAAGTCAACAGTAAGGCCATAATTTAAATGTTCTTAAAATGTTCTCATGTAAGAAACAAAAATTACTGGGGACCTGCCCTGTACTGGAATCACAAAAGTATTCAATCAGAGGTAGTAGCAATCAGAAGAATTTTTCCCTCAACTGAACAAAAAGTTGTTTTACCCCATTTCTCTTGGACGTGGTGCCATAAAAGTACTACCTTGAACTATTGATTATATCTCATGTTGTGTGGCTCATCCACTCTTCTTTAATAAGATATCTTTTGGTCAGTATCAGAGAATCCTTTACTACCTGTGGTAAAGGGTCTTGGCTCTGAAGTATAGCCATGTGTGCCTTGCCCTGTGCACACTGTTATGGGTTAACCTTCAGGATTATTTTTTAAATTATTCATAGAGTAGTTGGAAATGAAGAAACTTCACCTCTAAGCTCTGACAACCCAGTATTTTTTTGAGAAGTCACTTGCTTGACTTGTTCTGGTGTACTGCAGCCTGTTTGAAGGAAAGGCTGATGAGCTGTTTGGGAAGTGCCTCACTCTCCTCATTCTGTGTCAAAGAAACATTCCTGTGTCATGAACTCACTTGTCCTTAGTCATGGCATTGTTGCAGATACAGTTGACCTTAATCTTCCAATTGAAGTTGAAAGTCTAGTTAGATTTGTCACTAATTTACTAAACTAGCTTAGTACAGATTTCTTACTTGTTTATTACACCTAAGAATCTCGTATATTAATATGAGCATTCCAAACAAAAAATGAAGATGGCCTTCAACTGAGGACTTTACAGCTGATCAGTCTTAAATAAGCTTATTTGTCTCACCTTCCAGAGCTTCACCCACAGTCATTCTTACTATCAGTTACTTTCCTGCCTTGCAAACTGATAATTATGGGTTTCTTTTCCTTCTTTCTCCTCCCCACCCCCCCAGTAGCATCCATCAAACCTCTTATACTCTGGAATCTTTTTCCTAAGCTTCTTTCTGTGATAGTCCAAGGGAACTTTGCTCAGATGCCTGACAGAGTCCTTCACTTTGAAGCCTCTTTGCAGATTTATCCCTACTAACTGGAGGGGGGTACTTATCTCAGCGTAAGAAATTGGTAGCCACCAAGGCTGTTGATCACTTATGAATGGACCAGGAGGGATTCATTACCCATTTGGAAGGTGTCCTTCATTAGACTGGGCTATGGTTTCCTTGGAGAGCATAATGCCTTAGAACATTTTATTCAGATTGTTGCTTTTTGCCTAATTTGTGCTGTTACTGCATTTTCCCTTAAGTATGTACCTCTAGAATGTCCTACTTCTTTGCTGCTTTACTTTCAAGAATTGAGTGCTGAGATGATACTTCTAGAAAAAAGGACTATGATTGTTGTAATTCTTTGATGTAAAGATAATTTTGACAGGTTTCTCATACAGCCATCTGTTTCACCTTGAAATGTGAAGGTGGCTCACAGCTTTCTGTGTAAAAAAAAATGTTACTTATTTTGCTGCTTTTTTTTTTTTTTAAAATGGTGAGTCTTATAAGCTGAATTGAAGAGCTGTCTGGGAGACTGTGAGAAAAGATTCCAAGTTTCTCAATGTCAAAAAACAGTTTAAGAAAGTGTCTTGCATTCTAGTCTACCACCACTATTTTAAAAGATCAAGAAGTTCCATCTACCTCACACCAGTAAGCATGAGGTTTACATGTGAGAATTCAGCTAGAAGGATATTTTCAAACATTTATTCCTCTCTCTTCAGTTGTTTTCTTTCCTCCTAAGTTGGTACCTATGAATAATTTAGCTGTTGTGGTTTCACAAGGCACACTTTGCTGAGGTTTCTGTACAAGTGATTTGTTAAAAGAATAAATGTAAGAGATGCCTGGCACTGTGAACACTGTCAATACTATTAATAATTCGGTAACATAATTATTTTCTGAAAAAACCCTGTGCTTATTATCAGTCTCTCTGACCAATTACTGTTTTTCAGTTTGAATATACCCTTCTTAAAGAAGTCCAGGGTGGGAAAGTTACACACATGAGGGCACCAGACCATTAAACGGCAGTCATTGGGGGCTGTAACATTGACATAATGTCATCAGTCCCTCTGTAGAGAAGGCAAACTGCATCAAGTCAGCTATCATTTATGGGAGCCTTGCTGGTTCAGCCAAATAAGTGGTCTGTTACACAAAATAATCCTTTTTGACAACTGTGGCAGAGGCAACAGAAGATGATGGCAGCTATTGCCATAAAACCCTTTCTACTTTAACTCGTGTAATTTGGTTCTCTTGAACATTTCATACTAAATGCAGTTCCTGCTAGAGGCTTTCTAATTAATTTCTTCTTTTATGATTCATGGTATAGCTCTAAATACTGAGAGCTCTATTGATCTATATACCAGAACTCTATATGGTCTATAGCTTTATGGTTTATTTCATGGCTACCAGTCCCCTGATTTGCTGCTACCTGGCCTGCATTGTTTCTTTGGGATATTTCTTCTTGATTTACCAATTGTAGTTTCCAGTCCAGTATTTGCTCTGAGCTGTAATACATTGAGTTTCTTTAAAATAGCAAATTATTTCTTCAAACAGAACCTCTCAAATGCTAGCTGAAGGGTGGGACAGATTTTTCCACTTGTGACCACATTTGAACAATGCAAGGGGATTAATACTAGGGAATTTTAATACAAATTTACACAGGAGAAAATTAATCCTATTTTAAATGTGTGATAAAAACTGGTGACAGAAAAGAAACCCAGAATTATCCTTTGCTGCCTGTTAAATCCAATTTTAATGCTCACTTGCTTTGAAATCACAGAATCAGAGAATATTAGGGGTAGACCTCCAAAGATCAAGTCTAACCTCCCTGCCAGAGCAGGACCAAAAAAACCAGGGCTGATCACTCAGAAAGGCATCCAGACAGGATATATAGAGAAGTTCAAATGGATTTGAAAGAAAGGAGTTTTCACAGTTTGCAGTTTTCCTGATTTGTTTACTTGTTATGACAGGTCTGCTGCCAGTTTAACCTGAAACATTTTCTCCTCTATCTTTTTTTTAGAGCAAATACTTTATTTAATATTTGGATCAAATACAAGCCTCGACTGCCAGAGTGGTATTTCAATGAAAAACTTCTGAAAGTTGGTGATTTCCTTGCTCAGATCAAAGTAAGTCACATGAAAACAGAACAGGCTCAACTGCAGTCTTTGTTTCATTGTGTTTCTGTGCTACTTTAATCATATTGTACTGGAATCTATTTAGAAAGTAGCAGAATTTTTTACAAAATAATTCCAGTGAGAGTTGGTGGTTTGTATCTTTTGCTTATTATTGTAAAATGGTGCTGATTTAAAAATGTGTTTTCTATCTCTGTATTTTCTATGCACCCATTGACTTTTTAAATGCCCCCAAACCTTTCTTTAATATTTGTTTGATGTTTCAGCACAGTAGGGTACAATATCTGACTGTCCCTGTAGACACTGCTTAAGTACAAATTGACAGTGATAGAACAGTGGCAGTTTGTTCCACTGAAATGTCAACTCAGTGCTGAGTTAACCAAATGTGCATGTAAAGAATTGTCAGGGGGGAACAGAGAGCAAAAAACAGAGTGCAGTTGCACATTATACAACAAGTAGCAGAATTTTTTACAAAATAATTCCAGTGAGAGTTGGTGGTTTGTATCTTTTGCTTATTATTGTAAAATGGTGCTGATTTAAAAATGTGTTTTCTATCTCTGTATTTTCTATGCACCCATTGACTTTTTAAATGCCCCCAAACCTTTCTTTAATATTTGTTTGATGTTTCAGCACAGTAGGGTACAATATCTGACTGTCCCTGTAGACACTGCTTAAGTACAAATTGACAGTGATAGAACAGTGGCAGTTTGTTCCACTGAAATGTCAACTCAGTGCTGAGTTAACCAAATGTGCATGTAAAGAATTGTCAGGGGGGAACAGAGAGCAAAAAACAGAGTGCAGTTGCACATTATACAACTGTATGTATTGATGATGCTTCTGCATCTTGAATTCTCTGTGCACTTTTGGTCTCCTCAAAAAGGTAAATCACAACTAGAAAAGATTCAAGAGCAAGATTATGGAAGACTTTATTTGAGGGATATGTCACTATGTGATAACTCTTTTTATAGTCTCACCTAGTCATCTGTTACTGGTTACTTTTGGAGATGGGATACTGGGTTAGTAACTATTGAACTGACTCAGTAAGGCTGGGTTTATATTATATAATACTTGTACTTCATGTCTGCTGGGAAAAAAGGCCTCAAAGGTGCGTCACTTTTTATCTCAGTGATATTTATGTCAGAAGATCGTGTCATAAATCTGGGGCTTTCAAGGGTAATTACTAAGCAGCACTCAGAAGCAGCTCAAAGCTAGTTGCAAGTAATTCCTTTTAGGACTGAAGATGGGTGTGTGATTCTGAGTCATACAGTTACAAAGCAGAAATACTGAAGGATTACAGAATTGTAGGTTAAGTTATAAAGGTTCAGTACTTGAAAAGTTACTTGAGAGAATACACTTAAAGTTTCTAGAGGCTTAGTGTAATTTACAGTAAGGTACAGCTACTAATTAGAAACTATCTGTTTAGTATGACTTTGTAATGATCCAGCAGTGGATTTTTCTGCTTTTTGCCAGGAACATGTTAGAATACATTTATTTGGTCAATAGTACTTTCCCAGTTTAAAACCCTAGCTATTCAGTCTGTCAGTGTTATGAGACAGTTATGTATAAAATTTAACAATGTCCTTCAATCTTTCAGACCTGTTTCAGACATAGATTTTTGGTATTAGTGTTCTAAAAAGTTGATTGTAACATAAAAAATATATTTATAGCACAAAAGTTAGTGAAAGTTTATAACTTATTAGTAGAATTCTTCCATGCTTTTGGAAAGGTTTTTGTAACATCTACTTCATTTTTGTACATAATGGGAATAAAAAATGAGGCTAAATCAAATTTGTATTTTTTTTCAGAATGGAAGTATTAAATTTTAATTCCCCTCTGCCCTGGGAGGAAAAACAGATAACTGATAACTGACATTATATTTAAATTGAAAATATTTTTCTAAGAACAGTCTATTGACTTTTGCATTAGGAAAGCAATTAAATGCCAATTGTCACTGGTATTCACCCTTTTTCATTCTCAGCAGCATATGACACTATCAGATTCCCTCTTTTCCCCTATGAAAGAAGAGGACATAATTGGAAATGTATCAAAATAGTCTGAGGAGCCATCTTTTGGAGGAAACAGGCAGTGAAACTGTTCTTCCATATTATGTCCTTTGCTTATGGAATCTAGCAATGATAAATCCTATTTGTGCTCTTTATGGAGAGTATATATATGTGGCTATTAGGTGAGCTTTTCTGCAGACCATGGCAAAGGTACGAGTATCATGCAGATGTTATGAACTCTTACTCAAAAGTGGCCCCACTCCTGAGTAAAGAACAGCAAGCTGAAGGTGAACTTCAGCAGCACTCAACACTCACTGATAGGTTGAAGAAGACATATGGAAGAGTCTCTTTACTGGTAAGCCATTATATTTGAAGGTATAGTCTCATGGTGTAGCTTCAGGAATACTCACAGAAATTCCTAAGGAATCTTGAATAACTGCTTTTGTTAATAGCCTCTTCATTGCTTAGGTAATCCCATTAATGTTTTCTACATGTTCATGTTTTCCTCACGTTGTCATAGCTTCTGGGCCCTGGGAATTGCTTGGAATATTACATGAAGCTCTTAGTGCTTGGAAACCGCTGCTCTCACAGCATACTCAGTAAAGTTATTTCAAACACACCAAACCTGCTCTCCGTACTTTACATTGGCTTCCCATGGCACAACTCAAATGTCGTTATATTGATGGTGCTTAATGACTTGGCCCCAGATTGCCTAAAAATAATCTAGACGTAAAGGCTTCTGCTTGCAACTTCAGTCCTCTAGTGTAATGTGATTTTCTATAGGAAAGGTGAAGTTCCTAACGTTGTTGAAAAAGTTGTTTTGATGGCCAGCCTTAAACTTTAAAATATGCTGTCTTTGGAACTCCTATATTTAAGTGCATCTCTTTCACTTCACAAGCTTAGTTTTTTCTATCAATTTTTTTTCCCTGGAGTTGAAAAGGAAGGAAAAACTTAAGATGAATGATAGTTAAAAATTGTAAGGCATTACTGGAAAGACTAATGTGGTGTAGCACCAAGTTCTGTGAGAGATGGGGTAGAACCTATTGCATAAGTACCCATCTTGACTCCTAGTTGAAAACTACTCCACCTTTATGGTGTATAGCACTTCATGATGCATCGTCTTTAAAAATGACTTATTGAATGTGAGTAGTCAATGGGTAAGCACCAACTTAACTTTCTGTCCTCCTGCTGTCTGTTTTAATGCCTTTTCACTTTAGATGCCTTCTGTTATACAGCTGCTATGTATCTTTTAGGACACACCTTAATTCATTATGTCCTATGTCTGGAAATTAGCCCATTAGTCATCATGCTGATCAGTACTGATTCATTTTCCCCCCCTCCCTTTTTGCCTGTATCTGCCTATTATCTCTGGTCCTATACATGTATTTTAAAATGTTTGGGAGAGGAATTACCTTATTGTTATGTATCAATAGGTAGCTTAATGCTATTCTGATTGATGACTTTCGACTGTGTTGCCACAGCCAGAATTTATGTATTAGATTACACAAGTGACCAGTTGCCTACAGCTGTCCCTGGAAAGTAAAAGCTTTTGTGTAGGGCTGCTGCTTTCACACAGCAAAGAGAACAACAGGGCCAGGTGACTTAGACTCCTCAGCTGATTAAAAATTCAGGGTGTTACCTTTTCAGAAGGAATTTATGTTGAAAAAAGCAGGTGCAAGGAAGTACTTTTGAACTTTCTGTAATGAACCATTAAAGGATCATTTTTATGAATACAAATTGGTTAAATTTTCCCCCAGAATTTATCATGACTGGTGTGTTTGTGCTAGAGTTACTGAGGTTGGTAGAGAAACCTCTAAATAATCTTTGCTGCAGGAAGTGGTGGAGGTGATTCAGTAAATGGCACTTCCACATCTGAGTCAGAGCTGAACCATAGCATGATGTTAGAGTGGTTCAACGTGCTGCTGGGGAGCTGTAATTTGAATGAAACATAAAGCTCAACATCCTGTTTGTGAAGAGTTCTTAAAGACCCAGTGGCAATTTCTGGTCTATTAATGCTGACTGCTTGGCCATATGTAAATTCTGATTGTCACTTGATTCTTTTTTAGTGCGTCTTTATCTTCTACTCTTCTCTTCCTCTCTGGTTTTATGAAAAAGGGTCTTTGACATCAGGGAAACAGAGGAGAGGGAAGTGATGATGTCTGTGTATTACTTACAAATTTCTACCTTATGAAGTACTTTTCTCAGAGGTGTAGTATCATTATCATTACTGTTTCAAAGCTGCAGGACATTCTGGGAACCCTTTGAGTTCATTACATTAGCCCAGGACCATACTTTTCAATTGTTCTTTGATATGTCATTTTTATGATGAAAATAAACAGAAACTCCCAAACCACAAGCTCTTCTTTTAAGTACTTCAGCCTTTCATATGCTGAGTGTTCACACTAGAAATCACATTGCTGAATGTTTGTATTTAACTTTAGTATTTTTCTTCCAGCTGCTCTCTCATACTGATACTTTTTAACATAAAGATAATAAAAAATAATGTGTGTTTTATAGAAATAGAAATGCAATATACAAACTAAAAAATGTAATAATATTTGTCTTCAGGAATATAAGTTGGCACTTCTACAGTGCTATGGAAGATACTTTCAGCAGTTTGTTTCTGGAAACCTTGATGATATCATTGATGATGTGCATCAATTTAAATCCACCTTTTTCCCAAATGGTCTCAGAGACAAAAATGCAGTACTTACGGTAGGTTTTGTTTCTTTTGGTTTTTTGTTTGTTTGCTTTTGTCAAAGACAGGTTCAAAACAAGTATCCTATTTTATCCTCCACAAATATACTTTGTATTAACTAAATAACAATATTCAATAGTCATTAATAGATTGTTGCTATAGATTGTATTGAGATTTAAGGAATATATATGATATGAATGTCCAGTGTTGGTGTACATTTTAAAGAGAATATAAGTGCTTATGCTATTGTGGCACAAGCCAACCACTATTAACTTCATGTTAAGAAGACAATTTTCTCCTAACGTGTTATTTTGTGACCGTTACAGCAACTTTTGCTCTGAAATAGTTGCTATTAATAACCATCAGAATCAGGATATAAGCACAATTTTATAACTGTCCAGCAATTGTACAGTTGTACAATTGTACAATTTCTGTACAGTGTGGTTTGAGAATGGGGCAGAGTGCAAGAGAATGAAAGCATTATACTATAAATGGTACCGTAAATGTGCAAAAAATCTACAGGTAATAAAAGCTTGTAACAAGGTAAAAAAGCAGCATTGCATTACTGTCAATAGCTTATTTGCTCACTATGTGCAAAAGAAGCAGAACGCTGAGCAGTTTTGTAAGTGCTCTAAGCTCTGTGAAGCTGAGTGACATCAAGAGTGTGCTGGCATCCTTTTGTGTTAATTGCTTATCTAGGTAGGGGCTTGCAATTTATCATTTGTTAGTCATGGGTGAACATGATTCAGCAGGTGTAGGGGGTGTGCTAAAAACATTTTAGATTTTACCTGAAGCAGTTATTTGCTGAGAAGCTCTGTTTTCAGTAGATGGTGGATATTTCAAAATAGAATAATGCAAGTTATTATATGATCAAGAACAACAAAAGAAACTGTAGGAATCTCCTGTGTATTGAGCTAATCAAATATTCCTATAATCAGAGTTACTTTGTAAATAGGTGTTTAGCAAGGCAAAAAAAAGAGGCAGTTTGCTTAAAATCTAGAAGCAGATGTAATGATAGAAGAGATACTGTTTATATTATTATTTTTGTTTTTCAAGCATAGTTCAGCTTCCTAGAGGGAATATGATCCAAGCATTTGTTAATCCATTTTATTTCAGTTTTTAAAAATGCTTTGTAAATAAACTTGAAGTTCCAGAGGTAGTTTCTCCTGTTTTCTGTATGTCTACCCAGGCCTTGAACCAATCATAGTGCCAGATGTTCTCATCAGTCTATACTGAAATGCCTGTTCTGTAACTTGACCTTTAGACACTGAGATACCGCTAAGTATTCAGATACGGAATCTAGTTTGACAATGAATCTCTGCAATTGGAAATGGATAATGATAATATGTAAAATGATTGCATTTAAAGGTTTTATATTTAATTTTTTTTTGGGCAAGTTTTTGTGGCTAGCTTTTATTTTGTAATGTAACACTAAGGAAATAATAGAAATGGAGTTTCAGAGCTTGAAACTTCTACTTTCAGTGAATTAACTGAAAAAAAAAAATAATTCAAATATTATCAGGTTAGTAGGCTTCTGGGAGATTGGTTGGTACTGATTGTCCATGTCCCACTTAGCTCATTTTCTCCCATGTTGGCTTGTTCAGCTGGTACTGTGGTCCAGGCAAGACTGAGATCACAGTATAATAGGTATTAAAAGGAAGAGAAGGAACAATGCACATGTAGAAGAAATAAGGAACAGATGAGCGTGAGAAATAAGATATCTGTGATACAGATGGAGAAGTAATGTGCGGAGAAGTTCAGGATATGCTGTGGTTTACAAAGGACATCTACAGAGAAGCCAAGAATTAAAACCAGATTCTTTGAATATCAGTGTCATGCCTCATCCATCCTTTATTTCTCCATACACTCCTTTCAGCAACCCTAGTGCCCTGGCTGCATTTTCATCCTGTGATGCAGTGGAAACTGAGTCAGGCTAAGGGCACAGCAACCTTGAAGCTTTAGCACTTTCTCCATATCCTAATGCTCATTTGGATGGCATGCTGATTTTTTTTTTTTTTTTTTCCTGATATGCTTGATCTTTTCATACTCACCATTTTGTTGTACTTTGCTGGTGTAAAACCAACATATGCATCTGTTTTAACTCTCTATATTATTTTTCTGTGTGTTTCCATGTGTTTTAGTTGCGTGCTTTGCAAGAGAGAAATGTTTGCATTTATCAGATGATTTGCAGCAGTGACAGAAATCTCCAGAATCGAGAGTCCCTGCAGACTTGTTTGAATGTCTTGTCCTCATTACGACTCACTATGCAAGTGGCTCTACCTCAGGAGAATTTGTGTTGGCTTATCTACAATGGTACCTCAGACTTTACATTCCTTTGCTAAGCAAACCCATAGAGCGAAACTTTATGCCTAGTCTTTCAGGTCCACCGAAGGGTCATGAATAAATCTCTGGTTAGTCCTCAGTCACAGTAGGAGTTTTTATTGTTTGTTGTTTGGTTTTTGTTTTTTTTTTAAATGAGAGATTTTTATGTTGAGGTTTCTACATAGTGTGCCTTTTCCAGGGGGCCTGTTGCAGATGTAATAGCTTTTTTCTCATAGGTGTGGTTAATAAAATGAAATCTAACAGTATAATAAAGGCATTTTTTTAGTGAATCCTCATTAAAAAAAACAACCAACCAACCAACACCCCAAGAATTTTTAATCAGTAAAAAGTATGTGTTACTTTCTTTGTTGGGTTTTTGTTTGGGTTTTTTTGTAGTTCATTTGTTTGTTTATTTGTTTGTTTTAAGGGATTGCAGATCTAAGAGTAGAAAATGATTGTCTGACATTACATCTTTGTGTTTTTCTTAAATGTTCTTTAAGGCTAGGGTTAATAATAAGCTTAATCTAGAAATATCATATGGCATTTAAGAACTTGAAGCTCTGTATATAATTTTAGTGTGCTATTTATAAATGCTTGAATTAGGAAAAAACTTCAGAAAAAAAAGGAACTTCCATGAACCAGATACACAAAAAATAACGTTTTAAGATTTTTATTTCAAGAACAACAGTATAGTTTTGCTTTGAAAGACAATGTGATTTAGTCAAAAGTCAAAAGACTATTATTCAGTCATTCTACCATGATCAACTGTTGCAATATAAATTGAGGAGATAATATGTTTTAATTTAATTTTTGAAAATTTACTTTCTCTGATATTGAACTGTTCAAAATTCTTATCCTTTTGTTTTACTGGGAATGCCATTGCTCCCAGTTCCTACTTTTGAGGTGTGTTTTTTGTTTGTCTGTTTCTGTGGGAGAAAAAATAAATTTAAATCATGGTAACCAGGCATTCTTAAGTCCCACTACTTGAGTGTGGGACAGGTCTATGTACCAAGCCTAGGCAAGAATCTAATGAGAATTAGGCAATAACTCAGATTTTACCCACTTTCTGAGCATTTTTCTGTAATTTCTGGCAAGAGATTTTGTGCCTCATCACACATTTGACTGATAAAAAACAGTTTTCCTAAAGCTTCCCCCATTATTGCTTATTGGGATAATAACACCCTTCTAGCTATGACAGTTGTATTGGTTCCTGCTGCTCAGGTGTCCCCTTAGGAACATTTGTACAGACAGAATAGACTTTTAAAATGTTGTTTGTTTTGTTTTTTTCTCCAGAACTGCAGTGTCTTTTAAATTTCTGTGGCTGATTGTTGAAAAGTAATTTTGTGACATAGTCTAAATTAAGTGAATTTTTTACAGGATTTTATTTGTAAGTCACTTAGATATTCTTGAAAACTGTAGTCACAATCAGTTGTCTTCATTTTGCTTATCATATTTGATATAATGTACTAGTGGTGGTGTCTGCCAGGACAGTGTCTTACCAGACTAGAAGAATCATGTAAGGTAAGGTCTGTGAGGAGAGGTAATCTTTGTTTGATAGAGGCTGGCGTTTGGTGATAAAAATATGATTTTTCTCTCTATCAGTTACTTAATAAAAATTTGATATAGTAAATTTTGAAGATTTCATCCTTTTATTATATTAATTCATGGTGTAGGTATTTTGAAGCTAGTATCATCTAATAATTTAATGGCTTCATCTTCTCTAATTTAGTTATAGAAAATCATTAATCTATTTTCAGCCTCTGGAAATAACAACCCAGATAATTAGAAAAAGTTTCAGTTGGTTAGCATAATAAATTTCATCTAGAACTTACCTATTTTTATTTATTTTATTTTTGCAGGTACTATTCATATTTACACCATATGCAGACATTTGATGATGATAGGTCAGTCTGCAAAGGTATGGCAAAATAAAGAGATGCATGTGAAACATTTACAGAGATTGGACGATACACCTGTATTTTGCATAACACTGTACCCTGACTTTTCTATATAATTTTCACTGCCAATAGCAGTACTTCATCACAAGGGAACAACATGTCTAGGTTGCAAAATGGCCAATTTCTAAGCCCTCACACCTTTGTGAGTCTGCTCCTTCCTCAGTTGTGGAATGGAGCCCAGAATAATGTCTTGCTGGTCTTCAAGATAAGCTGTGTTAGACTGTTTCAGAGGGCTCTGGATCCTTTTTCTTGGGAAACTGTATTTAATCCCAATAATTATTTTTTGTTTCAAAAAAATGTGGAAGTGTACTGACACCTGGTGGCTAGCTTTTTAGTTGTAGATACTTTAAATTCACCAGCCTTTTCCTCCCTGCCCTTATCTTTTTAACTGGCAATGTAATTTTTTGTTTATCTTAGCTTTACTTTTTTTTCTTAATCCAGTGTGTTTTCTTACCTGTTGGTTACATTACTCTTTCACTTTTTGTCTTTAAACATCTTTTATGGAAACCAGAAATTATGTAGAAGTGTATTCAGGCTTTTATTATACAGGAAACAAAGGAATTATCATAGGTATTTCAGATCGTTTACATTCAGACAAAAGGAAAATCTGTATATTGATTAATTTTGGACTGAGGTTGTGCATGTGCTCATCCAAAGAAAATACAGGAAGAAGATACTATTCAAACAACTTAGTAGGAGCAATTTTTTTAAATTAAACTGCTGCAATGACTATATTGTCCCTAAAGTTAAGATCCAATAGTGTAGTTCATTGGTTGTAAATTAACCTAAGTGCTGGCTGTCACTAAAGAAGGCAGACTCCACTGCATCCCAAATATGCTTGCTGATCTAGTTGAAAACTAACTTTGAAAAAAAACATCACTAGAGCTGACACACATAGAGAACTCAACACAAGAGCAGATGAGAGGGAAGGGCAGGACCTCTGTGTGATGTCAAGGCTATAGTGAACTGGAGTGGTAAAGGTAGCTTGGAGACAAAAAAATAATGCTTGGCCACAGTTTCAGGTGAAAATATGCATGAAGAATGTTTTGTAGTCAATAAAACATGTTAAAAATTAATACAATTTCTGGTTGTTGTTTGGGTTTTTTTTCCCCTCTTGTTTTTTCCTACTAGTTGAGGATGAATCTTTATATGTGTCCTTTAGTATATTTATATAGCTTTAAATGCATTCAGCTTGAAACTGGATTTCTTCATCACAGGTTCTGGAATACTTACTGTGGGCCAGTGTATGTATGGAATCATCCATTCCACTCTTATCTGTACGTTATTTGACATGGAGAGCCACCCTCTATACTGCAGTTTCTCAGTGTTATTTTGATTGTCAAGCTGGCATTCATGGAGAGGTAAATGGATTTGCCACATGCTGCATTTTACATGGAAGCAAATGGGAACGATGTTTATCTAAATGTCTCTGCTTATTATCAGATCATACGTATTTAGAGTTCTGCCCATATTCCAAAATTTACCTGCAAAGTGGATGTGTGTTTCCACATGTAAATAAGTAATCAGTTCAAAGTTAAATGCAATAGTACCTTATAATACAATCATATAGAGGAGTGCATAGACTGACAGCGCTAAGTAGTGGCCAGTGTTCATGCATATATGCAAAAGGTGTTTTGCAAAGGTTTTCCTTTTCAATTCTTGTTCATGATCTGGCTTTCATTGCAGCTCTTTGCAGTTGTCTGAATTCAAGAATTATATGATATTAAAAAAAATTTATTCAGAATATGAAAAAAGTATATATGTATATATTTTTAATATTTTGGACAGACATTTGCTCGCCGTGGTCTGATTAAAATTGATGAACTGAAGAAACTAGAAAATATCAATTTGCTGGAAAATTCAGAGGCAAAAAACATTTTTACAGAGGCTACTCTAAAGGTATAATTCTGCCATTCATTAGTAACAGTGTCTGTGAACAAAACCTGTAACACAGTCATTTACTTATTTTTTCTTTCTGTCAGATGTCAGTAATGATTTTCAAGAGAGCAGTATATGAATCCAGAAGAAAGCCAAAAGGCTACTTTCGACCTAAGATAAGAGTTAACCTGAAAGAAGCACAAAAGGTAAGTTAGATATTACAAAGAAATTCTTTAGTGTGAGGGTGGTGAGACACTGGCACCTGTTGCCCAAGGAAGCTGTGGATACCTCATCCCTGGACATGTTCAAGACCAGATTGGATGAGGCTTAGAGCAACCTGGTCTAGTGGGAGGTGTCCCTACCCATGGCACAGGGGTTGGAACTAAATAATCTTTAAGGTCCCTTCCAACCCAAACCATTCTATGGTTCTGTGATTCTATGATTTGCCTCCTCTTTGCCAGACTAACTAAGGCTTCCTCAGCCTGTTCTTTTATATCTAATATCCCTAATCATCTTGGTAGACCTCTGTGGGACCCTGTAACTTTTCTTAGCATTCTTCTTACATAGTGGAGTCCAAAAGTGGACTTCATAATCTAGTTGGAGCCTCATGAGCCTCTCCTATAAGGGAAGAAAATAACCTCTCAATGTTTTGAACACTTCTAGTGTAGCTCAGTCTGCATTTCACCTTCTTTGTGACAAGAGGACACTGCTACTCTGAAAGTTGATTTCTAGCCTGTACAGATGTATTCCTCCCTAGATGTAAAACTTGGCACTTCTCCTAGTAGAGCTAATTCCTCAAGTTTTGCAATGTCTGCTTGGACTAAAATTCATTCACCTTTTCATTCTCATGATGTAGATCTAGATCCATTACATGTGTCATATAAAAATTAAAGAATCTCTTCTCATTTTTTGAAAAACAAAAGGAAGGAGATACTATAAAGTAATATCTTCTTTATCGCAGTTTGTCTGATGCTAACATCAGATTTAAACATCTGTAGTTGAATGGATAGGTTAAATCTGATTTTTTTTGTTTATGATTATCTAATTTGTTGATAATTTATTTCAGCATAAGCTACAGGTAAAAACACGTACTGCACTAGGTACAGTAAAAGCCAAATAATTTGAAAGAAGAAGGCTGTATTATCTATCTGGATGGATCCAGCAAAGAGAGAATGAAATTCCCAAATTTTTGTCTAGTTAAATGTACCTGGATTGTTTTTATTTGGGAAAGTGCCAAATAAATAGAACTGAGATATTGATGGATTGTGAACATTATTTTAAAGTATTATGTCTCTGATTTACTTCATGTATGTTCGTGGCTTGGTATCCATGTAGATCTGTGATATTTTTAGCTGTCAATAATGCATTTATTTTTGTGTGTTCTGCCTTGTATTTTGATGTGCTGTTTGAAAGGTGCAAGTGAGGAATACAATAGTGTTTTGCTTTTACTGCAGTACTTAGAATCCTAACCTTTCTCTGATTTTCTGCAGAGTGTGTGGAGCTTGGCTCCTTAAGCTCAAGCCTGTATTATTGCAAGGAGAGATCCTGATCCCTTAAACTACATGGCCTTAATGCTCTCACTCAAAATTTCTGTTGTGTTGTTTTCCAAGTAAGATGCCATGCAGTTATGGCACTTCTGTACCCACTTAGCATGAGGTTTTGCTATGCCTTTGAATAATGAAATTCTAACTATATTCTTCAGTATATTATTTTCTGTTTTAAGCGTGTGCTTACTTTCTGATGGAGAACTTTTTGATGGTGAAAGAAATCTTGCTTTATTGTAACTCAGATTAGATATTACAAAACTTACATTGCCTTTACTTTCTTAGTTTCCATGGCCTCGCACTATTACTGAAGAGCTGCTGACAGAAATGTTTGAAAGTGATGCAGCTCAGTTCCTTGCCATCCTGGAAGCCCTGTCTGATAGTAGCAGACATGTGTTGGGCCCTGCTCCACCTCCTCCTGATGAAGTGGAAATTTGTGATGTCATTTCTGAGCTTTTTTTTGCAGGACTGGAAATCCTCACAGGTAACAGCATAAAGAAGCAAAAAAAATGTTGGTGAGGATCCCAAACCTCTGTTGTATTAGTTTTTTTACCTTTCTATTTAATTTATAACAACAGTAGGTTGTCTTTCTTATCTTCGTATAATTTAAGATAAAAATCTGGGCCTCTCTCTGCTGTCTGCTTTGTCAGTAAAAGTCTACAATTATTTATGCATGGATGCATAGGATGGAGTTCACTTTCTTCATAGGAGCCTATACGGTGCTGTCCCTTGGATGGCTAAAACAGCGTTTGTTGATAACACACCCATGTTTTGGCTGTTGCTGAGCAGTGCTTGCACAGCATCAAATCTCTCTTTCCAGACCTCCTCCTCAAAGGCCAGTAGGCTGGGGGTAAGTAAGAAGTTGGGAGAAAGCATAGCTGGAAGAGCTGGCATGAATTCACTTAACAGCTATTTCATACCATATGACATCATGCTCAGCAATAAAACCTATGGCTAAAAGAGAGGGTGGGAGCACATTAGTGGTTATGATGTTTGTTTTCCCAAGGAACTGCTGCGTATCCTGAGGCCCTGCTTTCCAGGAAGTGGTGAGATAGCTGCCTGTCCATGCACAGCTTTTGCTTTTCTTATTACACTGTCTTTATCTCAACCCATAAGCTTTTCCATCTTATTTTCTCCCTCTGTCCTTTTGAGGAGAGTGAGTGACAATGCAGTTGTCACTGAGTGGGGGTCTGGAAGCCAGGCAAGGTCAACATACCATGGTGCTTCATGTATTTTTTAGAAAAAAATATAAAATCTGTCAAAGTTAGATTTACAAACTTGACAAAAACACTAGACTTGATAATTTCTTCTAGACCTTTTTTGCTGGGCCCTTGACTTAATATGTCCGTAGGTGTAGAGGTATTTTGCTAATAAAAGAATTTACAGAGACTAAATACACTTCCAAATCATATTTTCTTTATATGATTACTGGCTAATTGGAATCTGCCAAGTCACGTACAACATAACTGAATTAATAAATTTTCTATATTTAAGGGGGAGTGAACAGTACTGATATTCAACGAAGTCATCTCATCAATCATTTTGGTATAACTAATACATCATCAACCCTTCTGGACTTGATACTAACAGGTAAACTAGCTTTAAATTTTCAAAGGATTCTGTACACGGTGATGCAAAGGCTTGGGAAGCAGAATTCGTTTTCGTGTTAGTAGTGGTTCTATGCACAAAAGGACTGCAAAATGCTGCATGAGTTATGCTTGTTTATACATGTAATGTTAAGGCATTCAAAAGGAATTATGTACAGATATTGTTATGATTTTCTTAACACAAGTATTATTTAAATAGCTTATAGTAATCTATGGACACTGTAATCACATAATGTTCAGCATAGCAGTTCATCTAGATTTGTTACTGCCCCCAAGCAGTCATTCAAGGCCAAATTCTGCAATGATGTCCTGATACATTTGTATGATAGAGAAATGGAATTCAGTAACAGAAGGACTGTCACAGGCTTGTTGAGATACTTGAACCAATAATTGTGCTACTTTGGAAAATCACAGCTGTCTATTACTAAGTTAATATTGCTAACACCTTTTAGCCGAGTGGCTCTGTGCCCAGGTGATAGGACCAATGAGTGTGGCATGTGCTTAGGACTGCAGAATGCTGCTGAATATATTAGCCAAGATGCTTAGAGTTCCAAGGACCTGGAAATCCCTTTTCTGCCTGACTGTAGTTTGGATAAATTTGAAGAGGGAGAAAATAGACTTCCTATGTGTACATGCATATTTGCTGATACACTAATGAGAAATGCTCACCTATCTTGCAAGAAATTGTCCATGTTTCTATGCATTCTTTTCAACTAAATTTCTTGAAAGAAGGATCATTATGTGGTGACACCCAGATTTAAGCTCTTTCTGCAATAGAAAGGACTAACTCCTTGATATTCTCTACATAGGTACACTAATATAATTAATAGTGCAGCCTCTTTGGAAAGTAACTGGGCATTGCAGAAGTAGTATTAAAGTAGTTAGAATAGACATTAGAGCAAAATTATAAAGCTCTTGTCCTTCAAGATTATACTGACTGTTCAAAAACACATGGAGTTTTATTTTTGTATTTATCAATACTAAAATTATTAAACTAAATTAAACATACTAAATTAACTCAATTAACTAAATTAAACTTAAATATTAAAAAATTATAAAATGTTTTTGTCATCACTGCAGGAGAAAGGGGTGTGTCTGGAGATGCAGCTGTGAAATTCATAAAATTAGCTTTCAGCTATGAAGAGTGGAATGTGTTTGATTCTGCTGTTGAATTTGTTGTTAATTTTCTTCAGGTAATCCAGATGCTATTTAGACATTCATTATGTAGTCTTTTCCTATGAGGGTAAAAAAGGCTGTTCAAAGTACATATGTTTAAGACGAATTTACGTTTGTGGGGTTTTTTTCCTTCTAAATTAGACTCAAGAGGACCCAATATGGAAGAAAGCTGAAATGGAACTCGAACTTCTTACACTGATGCAAGCTTTGCTATTTCCAAGAAAAAATAAACACAGCTTCACTAGTACTGACAGTACTACCAAAGAAGCTAGAAACTCCCAGGTTTCTCAAAAGAGTCAAACATTTAGAAGTAAGTGCTGTTCAGTTATAGTTGTGTTTGCATTTCTGATATTTTTGCAACAAGAAAATGTGTTTATTATTTAAAAACTGTGTAATATGGTGCATGCACTATTCTGTAACAGAAGCTAGCAATTCAGAAACTGCTATGCATTGAATTTTGTCCAGTTTTCATTTGCCAGTACATGACTTTGGACCATTTCCCTGAAGTGTGAGGAAAAATATAGAATAGATATTTGACTTTCTTTTGTTTCTTCTTATACTTCATTTATGTAAAATTTCTTGACATCAAAGCAAGAAAAACTTGTTAAAGCAACTGTAGTTTAGTTCTATGACATTCCAAAAACCTGCTGATATCTAGAAAACTTTCTCTTTCCAAAACCAGAAATTCTCATTTTTCACAGAAGTAATAAACTTGGGAAAATACCTCCCCTTTTAATTTGTTGTTTCTTAGACCACAAATTGGTAAGTTAATTCAGTCATATGTTTTCAACCTAGAAGTAACATCTTGCATTTTCTTTTCTTCCATTTTTAGAAACATTGAATGTAGAGCATGGGGAGCCTTCTCAGGATATTATGATTTTGGCATCAACAGTATTTTCCTGTGTCTCCACAGCTAAGCAGGTATAGTAAAATCAGATGCATTTCTTCTGAATGAATCATGATCTGTAACAAATGCATATCGTTCAAAAGCAAAGGGTTCAGTTGCATGATTAACAAAGTGCAGACATGAAATAGCAAAAGTGAAAAGATACACTGAGAAGATGTGATCAATTTGTGATTAAAATAAATAAATTGTTTAAATAAAAAGTTAACTTATTGTTGCTCTATATTCTGGCTACTTTAAAAATGTTTCATAAATATTTAATAGTTTTGGAGTTTCATAGAGCTAATTGCATGTTTCAGCTAATCAAGCAGAGATCAAATTTATTATATTACATTTAGGTGCTCAGCTGTTGGAGACTTTTCTGCAATATATATAGGAATGAGAGTGATGACCCTGATGAATGATAATGCCTTTATAGCAGTGATATGCCTTGAGATTTCCCTTAATGTGCTATTGTGAGGGGAAAAAAATTACAGTGCAATGTCTCTACTGGCATTTACACTAATATAGTTTGTGATATTGAAAAATTTTCCTTAGAAACAATGTGTTCTGCTAACTTAGTGTATGTCTTAACTGCAAAATTAATTTTAGATATCATTTTAATAATGCCCCAGTTTGAGTATAACTGGGGCACAGACATTTTTTTATCTTTAGTATAATATTCTTTAGTCAAAATAGTCTGCCTGTGAGGTAGTTATACCTGTAGATATCATGATTTGTCATTTTTTCACATGACTGCTGTATTATGGAGGGATTTTTCCATAAATCTCCTGCGTACCTCATCTGTCCGGGGAAGGAAGACAAAATGCTCTCCGGATTAACAGAGAGTTCAGTGATGGTGATGTTATGGTCTAAAAGCTTGCTGCCACCAAACAAATGGCAAAAGTAATCTTGATTTACTTTTTCAGTTTTTTTCTCCATTTCTCAGTATCAATATCCCAAAAATGTTACACTCATATACACGAGTGTACACATAGTGTGGCTCTAGCAGGCTTGAGTTTCACTGTACCTGAGATACTAGTCCAACTCCAGTATAAATGGCAATTAAGTTGTGTGACTGATCCTTAATCACCATTCAGGATGTGTTTAACACAGTGTAGATGGACTTTACTGCCTTTTAAAATGGGTTAATTAGGAGGTTAACTGAATAGATGTTTTAAATTTGTTAATTATTCTCTTGACAAGATGCAGATGTGTTTTAACATTGGTTCAGTTGTTTGATACTCCCTGCCAACCTTTTTTCTAGTTGTTTAAGTTGTTCTTCCCTGGTCCCTTATCAGAGATGCACCAACAACTCATGGAAGTCTGGAGCTTTGTAAATGCAAAATGAAACCTAGTATTTTAGATCTTCTTCTGTAAATATTTAAATACTGTAGAAAAAAAAATGGCACTAAAAATTAAAAACCTGTTAAATTAGATTGCTTCGTTTTCCCAGAATGTATTGGCTATTGTAGTATTTCACAGATGGTTAATTTCTTGTCTCTGCCATGTAAATTTCATCTTACTGCTTTCCTTGTCTGTGTTACTGTTAAGAGCTTGGCAAGAAAAAATAAATAAATCACCCTCTGTGCCTCTAAACCCACTTTTATTGTTGGGAGTAAAGAAGCTTGGGAAATCTACCAGAAATTACTTAAAAAAAATAATTAAGTACTCAAAATGTTATTGTCCCTTATAAGAAAATTAATATGGTAATTATTTGTTTATTTACTTTGAAAAATGTTGAGGCTGTTTATGTACTAGAGTGTTTTGACAGTGTTTATATACATACCTGTTTTTACAATTATATTGTTTATTCTTTCCAGAATATCCAACCTGACAAAGAAATACTTGTTGAAGTAATAAAGTTTTTGTGGCAGAAGTGTAAAACAAGACTTCAGCAAATCCAACTGAGTGGAAGTGACTGCTTGAAATATATCCACAGACAGAAAGCTTACCAGGTACTCCTTCATTACAATGTATTCCTCTTAATATGAATGCAGTCAGTTATAGTAAAGCCAAGATAAAATATTGGTATCAGTCCAAGTACATTTCCTTATTGTAAAATGCAGATAAATCTTCTCTGAAAATATGAATTGTTTATACACTTTGAACATGCTGTCCTCCCATACATCAGTATCAAAATACCTCAGCTTTTTCCCAGGGAGGTAACCCATGCGCTGCCAGCAGGCCATGGTGGAAAGAGGCTAAAATAGTGAAAACATTTGGGCATGATGTAAGAAGAAGAAACATTTAGTGTGTTATGGTAGGAAATATATTTCAAGGAAGTTCCCTAGAGCAGTTGAAGAATGTGGCAAAAAACTTAACAGTGAAGACAAATGTGGTCACTGGATAGAATTACAGCCTTACCTTGAACTTCTCCTGAGCCTGAGAGGCTCTTGGTGAAATGCAGTCTCCAGAAGGATAATTTACGCTAGTTTCTCTGGGCTGCCAGTTGGTGCTGACCAAACAGTTTTTGGAAGAGTTAATTTGGTGGCCCTGATCCCTGTAGTAAAACTGTTCAGCCATTCACCAAAAGGTCGTGTACAGTGACTTTCCTATGTGGATACAACTGAAGCATTCAAGTCTCCTTTATACTGTTTGACTGGGAAGCTACAGGGATAAATGACAGGCAGATGATCAAATCTACTGCAAGGCTTACCACACTATAACAAGATATAGAAGTTGTGCTTGTAGAACATTCATAAACCTTCTAAAATAATGATAAAAAATATAAAAGAAAAAGTCTGGAGAATTAGGGGCTTCAGAGCAGCACAAATTTACCATGTTAGTCTAGTGGCATTCAAAAAAGGATGCTGAATTCTAGAAAGGAATTTTGTCCATCTTTACGAATCTTTTTAAATGATTTTGAGTGCAAAACCCTAGCTACCTCTGTAATACATAGCTATCTTCCAAAAATTGTTTTAACTCTGTCTTGATTCTTTTTGTTTTCCCTCCCCCATTTTTAGTGGGTTCACATACTCTGGATAATAAATGAAACCATCCAGAGGAGCAGCATAGCAGGCACTGATATTGTAATGCATGCAGAGGTAACCTTACATCTAGCTGCAATATTGGAAAATGTAGCTGCTTCTGCAAGTAAACCTAAGAAAAAAGCAGGTAAAGCCTTCAACAAAAATGTAGTTTTCTTTCAATATGATTTTTGAGATTAGAACTTTTCTGAGTTCAAAACTTGGACAAATAGACATATTGAAAAAATATTGTAAAGGAATTGTTAAGAGTAGAATGCTAATTTTTTGTTCACACACTTTCATCCATAAGAGGAGCTAATGAAATCTGTTTTTTAAAGAATTTCTGCCTTTATTTCCTTAGATTTCCATTTCTACTGAAGTAAGCCCTTTTTGCATTACATCTCTTATGACTCACACTCCCCACAAGTCTTCTACATGTCTCTTAGCCCCTTCAGAGTAGCCTCAGATCACTCATATGTTCTCTAAATATTGGCTAGGCAGAAGGCAGTGAGTGCTGCAGCTCATGTGGAGGAGCCAAGTGCTAGTTGACTAGTGACAGGCCAAAGAGAAGAGGGAAGTACGAGGTCATACTGAAGCTTTTGCTTTTATTGGGTCATTAATTTGGATCTCTTGTTGACACAAATCTTGATTTTTTGTATAGGAATTCAGTTGTCTTTGAACTTAACTTGGCTGGCATTATTGGGATACAATGCAATTGCAATCACATGAAACAAATTTCCTTCCAAAACCTGACTAATGTTGTAAAATATGAATATTTAGACATACTTCAAAAAGTCTGGTACTGTGGATGTAGGATCTTGGAATATGAACTGTAGTTCTCAAACGATTTACAGTAACTAGAGAGTAGATTTTAAGGAACCTTTTAGAACATATTCAGGAACATTCATTCAGTTTAAATATGACTTTTTGGAAGCAAAAAGAGCTAAATAGGTAGGAGTAATTGGTCAAAACAGGCTGATAGTCAGTCAAGTGCATATTTATGCTGAGAATAGTCTTTTTCCAGAATTAATGCTGACTGAATATAGATTTTCTTATTAACAAGAAAGAAACTGAACAAGCAGATATAAACAGGCAAAAGTGGAACAGGGAGGACAGGACTGACTAGCAGATTGTCTCTCTGAAAGGACAAAAAATGTATTCATTTCAGAAAGAAATAAAATTTTGACAGGTTAGGGGGCTGTAACTGAGAACAAAGAAACTTCTTCCTCTTATTTTGGAAAGGAAAGCACAATTCTGGATACAGTCTTTATGAATGAGAAGAATTTAAACAATCCAAATGAGTATTAAAAGGGTGATAATATCCCTTCAAAGAATATTAAATTAAAATAGTATGTGTAATAAAAATGTGACCTCAAGTATTTAAAAATCCTCCTATAAGCTAAATTAGCATTAAACCTGCTGTGAATTAGATAACCATAGAGTTGAATTCATTTAAAAATTAGTCACAAAGTGACTCCAAATTTAACTGGCCTGAATGTGATGTTGCTATGAAACACAGGGTATATTCAAAAATACTACATTATTGGATAATCATATACAGAATTAGTATGATAGTACATATGTAGCTGTTGTGTTTAAACCTCAAAAAAGCTTTACAAGCAACTGTGTAATCACTTCATAGTCAAATACTGAAGATCTGAATCATTGCAAGACTATTAAATTAATAATAGTGCTAATCAAATGATACAAACATTTTCTGAGGATATTTCATTTTTACTTTCTGATTTTCTTCCTATAAAAAAGGTAGAATGAGTGCCTCTCTCTTGCAAGATGAAGCCTCTGATATCCCTGAAATTCTGATGGTAATGTTTAATTAACTTATAATGAATGTAGCATTTTTGAATAGCATAACACTTATTTCTGCTTGAAGCTTTTAAGACAATTTTGTATTTAGTTTTTTAAAGCTGAAAAGTTTCACTCAATCATGCTAGTGCCGGGGAAAAGAGCAAAGATATTTTTTCAAATGAAATTAAATCTAAAATTCTTCCTGTGACCCTTTAATTTGTGATATGGAAGTTTTATTTGAAGCTTTTGTTTACAGTGTGATCACCCATTTCCGCTGTACACTCTATTTTTTTTTGCTTAGTACCAGCTTTAAATGGTTTCATAGCACATTTTTTACTGATCATACATACCTTAACACTTGCTTTATTTTGGATTGTGGTTTTGCTTGCTGGGTTCTGTGAAGGTGGGGATGTGGAATAGATGGAACATCCAGAGTGTTGAGTGTGTTCAGTGCTCAGCACTTTGCAGGACCATCCAACCAAATAGTTAAAAACTATTTACTGAAACACATTAAGAAGAAAAAATATATATTAGTCTGAGGAATTTTGTCAATGTCTTAATGTCATTTTGTCTTAATGTTTATACATATGGAGCAGCTTTAATTCAGTGACAGTTTACTTGAAGTTGTTTTCTGAAAAGTCAGTGTTTTGTTAACAGCATGTATGGAACACTGAAAATCTGCTTGTGAAAAGCACTGTCACCTTAAATCTCTAAGTTCAGTTTCATTCTGCTATAAGTAACTATTTAAGTTAGTAAATTGTTTTTTGAGAGTTGAAGGAAAATCAGTCCTAAATTAATTAAAATTACTTGACATTTAAACATTGATACTAGTATATGAAAGCACGGGGAACAATGCCTATGTAAAGGTTATTTGATGGAGTTTAAACTGCTTCAGCTAAGAATAATAGCACTTTACTTTGATAGCCCATATTATAACTTTTAATGTTGTTATTCAATAAAATGTGTTTCTCTGTCTTTTCATTTCAGAAAAGTCCTACAGAACTGTTACGAGTTGCTTATGAAAGTCTTGAAAAAGCAATTAATGAAATGAACACATTTTGTCTAATGACCCTTGTGCCAGATGGAAAGTCAATATTTGACAACTGCTGTACAAAGGTAAAGTCTACAAAAAGTGACACTTCAACAAAATCTGTAAATAACATATTGGATTTTGATGACACAAAACTGATATTTTATTAATACTTAGAAATCTTAACATTATCAAATGTACATCATCTTCCTGTGCCATGTAAAAGAAGGATAGAAAAAGTAAATATTTGTGTGGTAGAAATATGATTTTTCTCTTTGAGTAATAAACTATAAACTCTTTTAGGTTTTCTTTGGCATTTTCTTTTGGAAATCATTGTAACTTGTAGCTTTCTCTTAGAAAATAAAAATAGAAATCCTTTTCATATTTATTGCTTGCAGCTGCTTATTATTAAAAATAATTTTTGCTGTTGAGAAGAGTTCAGAATTTAGAAATTTTATCATTGTTCACCAATATTATTTTTGTTTGGTGGACCAGTAATAAAATGAAACAATTTTTCTATAGTTTCATATTCATTATTAATCCAGTTTCCTATTGATTCTCAAGCCTGGTCTAGTTTTCTTTGACTGCTATCTGTGCTTTCCCTCTAATAAATCTCTTTTCTTCCATCTTTTCTTGAATGGCTGCATATTACACAGATAGGACAAATTTCAGTGTTTGTCAGTTTACTGAAATAATAATAATATCAGTGTCAAGACTAATGCAGTAAGCTAAGTAGTAAAAGTTTGTGTTTGATTAATTGTGACTTCCTATTTATTAGGTGGAGTCAAATGATCAGGATTTGAATTCTGTTTGGGGAGTTGGTAATGATAAGACAGGAACAGGTTTCATAATGGATTTACACGTGGAGCTCATTCAGGCCCAACATCGAATATCTGTGAAACTTCTTAAAATGACACAAGGTATGTTTCAGTAAAGCTCAGTGATCTTCATAGCTTGATTAAAGGCCTCTGTTTATGTATTTTGTGATACTATGAAATAAAGGAGTATCTACTTTCTGAAGAGGAGCTGATGTTGGGCAGTTTGCACACTATACAGACAGAAATAATTATGTACTGGATTTAGGTAATTTAGATTCACTGCATGAAACTAGTCTCTGACCTCTACTCAACCAATGGGAGTTAAACTTTGCTATCAATTACTGGATTTGATTTCTAGACAGTATTTTGTGGTATTTCTGTTATAATATTAACTGTTACAGTGTCAGTAGGGAACAACTGGGGAATGCTCTGCAGAATTATTATTTCTGTAATGCTAATTTTCTTGCTAGAGAGTATTTTTTTCAATACTCTTTTTAATCTGAATTTCTAGTCCTGTGAAGTTGTCCTTAGCTCTTCCCAGTCAGGAGACATCCCACTCTTGCCAAATGCCTTCTGAAAAAACTCTACTTTGTTTCCTATTCCTGGTGGTATTTTTTAAAACAAAAAGGCTAATATTAGTTTGACTCTGCAGAGCTCCCCTGTGCACTCTTTCTTATGATCAAATAAGATCCTGTGATGTTAGTATAACTACTAAAGATGTTAGAGCATGAGGGTGGAATATTATTAGTGGCATGATCAGTCAAAGGAATTCTCCTTGGACCAAAGAAAAGAACATGAGATGGAGCAGAGCTTTACTGCAAAACTATGTATAAACCCCTCACTGAAAATTTCTCCATATCACTGTCAGAATGAATAATTTGGGATTGTCTTCCCCCATAGATGCCCAAAAGGATGAACGAAGTCTTCAGTCTAGCAAGGCCCATGTGAAAAATATTGAAGATACCCCTTATTTAACAGGTAAGGTTTATTAATTAAGGTTTTAGAAGTATAATAAATGATTGGTATTGTTTTAAAAATGTATAAAAATATCTATTTTACAGAGGCAGGTATAATGAGAAAAATAAAAAAGAATAAGCTATCCAGAGCGATCTTTTTGATGCAAAAAGCTGTACAGAAGTTTTCTAAAGAGTTAACCACTTCTTCCCAAAGGCAGCTACTGGAGGTAATAAAAAAAAGTATCTTATAGTAGAAATTCTTTATCACAGTTTGTAATGTTCTGTGTAACTAAATTTGGATTACTTCTTACAAAAAGAAGAAAATAGAAGTGACTTGAGGGACATTGAGCATTTTTAACTTCTGTTGTCAACTTTTCCCTGAGAAGTTCTGTTATGATGGGAGAATAAAGTGATTTAAAACAAGGAAAGAGCACATCCCCAGATTTTGTGCACACATGTGCATTGCAGGGAACTTGAAAGAAGAAATTATATTTCTTTCTACACTTCATCATTTAGACATTGGAATTATTAACCTATGACTTGCCAAAATGTCATGAGAGTTTCCTTTTCCCCATTACAACCTTCAACATCCCTGTTTTTGCAAGATCTGTAAATTGTCTTAGATTAGTTTGGCTGATGTTGATGACATAGACTTTGTTTTATTCTTATTAAATGAACAGTTTAGAAGTTGAAGATTTTGGAATTTATTGAGGCTAAAAGTAGATTTGTCATGGGCTCATTTCAGTCTTTTGAAATCAATGGGGGTCTTCCATTGCACTTTGTACCAGCATCTGTCCGTGAAAATTGCCTTCTTATCAGTGGGACATAAAATTTCTGTATAGCCTGTAAAAAAAATAACAGAATTTGCAATTCTCACTATATATGAAAAAGTATTTTGAACAAGAAATCACTAAAAACTGTTTTTCTTTTAACTGCTACAAATTTGGAAGCATGATACAATTTGAAAGAGATACAAGGCTTATTCAACCTGTGATCTTATTCAGTATGGTTATTTTAAAGCCTTACAAATGTATGAGGACAGAAAAAAGGAACTGCTAAAGTGCAAGAGTATTGGAATGTCACTGAATAACCAATAACTTGGCATTTTCTTTTTCAGTCTGTCTTTCAGACTCAGTTCAGCTTAAATCCTTACTTGAGTGTATGGTACTAAAAGGTTTAAAATAAAAACCCTAGTTGTAGGAATATATAACCTATCTCTTCTCCCAGAAGAATGTAATTTGCCCAAGACATTCCTGATTTCTGAATACAGGCCTTTTTGGAATTGGTTTGCACTGGACAACTGCCACAAGTAAAGATATAAAAGTACTAAGTTCTTAATATTAAATTTCCAAGTTAAATTTCTCTTATCCTGACAATGCAAACAATGTGAAGAAACTTAACAATTCACTATTCAAAAATATACCCTGATCTCCAACCAAATAGCTACATAATCACTGTGTGCAGGATGCCCCCACATTTTTGGAAGAAACTAAAGTACTGTCAGTCAGCTCTCAGCTCTCTCCAGCTAACCAAGGGAAGTGCTTTAGCCCTACAGTTTTTGCACCCACATTTTCCTGCCTTTTCTTTATTTCTGGACATAATTTCTTTCCTCTGTTTTTGGAATACAGAAAATCAGTCTAACCACTTCCACAGCTCCTTCAGAAATTCCATAGATCAGGTCTCCAGCTCTTTCCTAAATAATACTTGATATTTTTTGTTTCCAGTTGGAGCTAATCATTGGTTGCCAGTGATTATTAATCAACATTATTTGTGAACACTTTCTTTTTTCCTATAGGTTCTTCCAAAATGCAATATGCATATGCAACCCTGCACTGTCTTTATTGTATATTATGAAGTTGCATATGTAAGGCTTACACAAAGTGCCATTTATCTTAATATAAAATGTAAGATTATATAAAAATTTGTAAGTTTTCTATGTAACCATGAATTTTTGTAAGGTAATTTAAAAAAAAGGTTTATAATTGTTAAATGTCTGATTGTTATGTTTGAACAGTTTTTCCCTTTTGTTTTAATTTAAATCATAGGAAGCACTGACTTTAATTGAGCAAGTTGAAGCTGAACAAAGAGCATTGTATCACAGTCTCAAAGAAGTTATGAGCAGCAAGAAAAAAAGCAAGACTCCTCCACCTCCTCTGTTACTTTCGAGATCACATTGCTCCATGACATTTAAACCAGCCCCGTTCTCTTCAGATGTTCAGGTAATGTTCTTAGAGATGACTGCATAATAAGTAACTAAACAATACACAAGAGAGCAAAAGTTGTTTCAACAGTGCTATACCATCAGTTTTCCTTGTTGTTCTTGAGAAGATTATGGTATTCTTACTTAATTACATTTTTTTTTTCCCCACTCTGAGTCAATTATTTGACTCGCTGTTTTGATCTTCATGTTTGCATGAAACTTTCTTCATCTCATGTATCATGTATCTTGGTGCTTCTGTGATATAATGCTTATTTATTCTACTTTTCAAAAGCTTATTCTCTTGCTTAGGGACTGATGCACTCCTAATTACCCTCTGAAGAGATGCAAGGCTGTTGCATCACGTGGTGCAAGAAAGTACCACACTGAAGCTTTTGTTAATCAAGTGCTAAAGTGCCAGAGTTCAGGTGGAAAAATCTCAGATTATAAGGGATTTTAGGAAAAGTCTCCAGTCAAACCAGTTACTCAAAGTAGGGTTGGCTGTGAGATTAGACCAGGTTGTTTATGTCTTTATCCAGTCAGCTCTGAAAAGTTTCAAATGTGGAGACTGAACAGCTTCTCTGGGCAACCTCTTCCAACAGGACAACCTGTTCATGGGAAAACTTTTTTCCTTAAGTGCAGCTGGAATATCTCTTGCTTCAACTAAATGTATTATTTTTCGTCCTCCTACCATGCACTACTGTGAAAAGTCTGGCTACATCTTCTTCGTCACTTACTTGCAGGCACTCAAGGGCTCCTGGTAGATCCCCTGAAGCAATCTCTTCTGCTGGAAGAATAAGCCCGGCTCTCTCAGCCTGTTCATGCAGGGCTAGTGTGACAGCTCCTGACCACCTTGGTGGATCTCTGCTGTAATCACTCTAATAATTCAACATTTCTTGTTAGAATGATGGGGGGCAGAAGAAAAATTGGCTGTGGTATCTAGATATCGTCTAGTGAGTGCTGAGAATAGTCACACTTCTCAATCTCCTATGTTAATAGGAGATGCTTTTAGATTGTTTTGCTGCCATGGCACACTGCTGGTTCGTGTTCAGCTTGCTGTCTGACATGACTCCCCCATCCTTTTAGTGCTACTCCTTAGCTTATCAATCCCCAGCCTGTATCCTTGCGAGGCATTCTTCCTTCCCAGGAGCAAAATTTTGCATTTGTCCTTGTTAAATTTCATGATGTTCCTGTTGATCCATTCCTCTGGGCTATCTAGATCCCTTTGAATAGAAATTCTACCCTCAAGCATATCAGCTGTTTCCCTCCATTTGGCCTTATCTGTAAACCTGGTGTGTGCTCACTTTGTCCCCCATGTCATTGCTATAGTTATTAAGCAGGACAGGTTCCAGGGTAGTCCCCTGCAGTGCTTCACTTGTTACCACTCTCCAGCTAGAGTACAAACCATTAACAACTAGTCTCCGAGTCTGACCTCCCAACCGTTGTTTTACTCATTCATCTGTTCATTATCCTCATTTGAGTAGAACAATACTGGGAGGCCTTGCTAAGGTTGAGGTAAATGGCATCTATGCCCCTTCCCTCATCTGCAAATAATTAATTTTGTCACAGAGGCCAATCCTAGTGGTCAGCCATGATTTGACCTTGGTAAATCCATACTGACTATTTCAAGTCACCTTATTCTTCTTCATGTGACCAGAGTGGGTTCAAACAGGCTGAAGTATTGAATTGAAAAATTAACTAGCTGCCATTTTCTTGAGAGAGAAATTTTCATAGTGATTTTGCAAGCTTCTTCAAAATATCAGTGTGTATAAAATGGGAAAAACTCAGATCTTATTAATAGTAGTAAGAATGCTTCTGTGAACAGTTGTTTTATAACTTGCAGTTTATTGCATTTTGAAAAGTTAATAAAAAAATTAATAGGGGAAAGTTACTCCTTTTTGTCCCTAATTAACATAAAATAATTTTTTTAAAGTCTGATAGTTCATCTGTTTTTGTAAGTGTTAATTTTTCTCAGTACAACAGAGTGAATGTAACATATTGGGCCACCAGATGGTGCAATGAGATTATTATTCTTATAATTTGAGCCTAAATATTTTTTTTCTAAAGATATGCATAGCTGTTGAGCAAACATGAAAGCTGTTTTTTATGAAGAAGTTATTAGCTGGAAATGGATACTTGGGTTTTAATTAGATACATACAGTTCTTGTACTAGAAGTCAAAGTAGCTCTAAAATTTTCCGATCTTAAGGTTGCTCATTTGCTGAAAATTATCTCTATTTCAATATCTCCTGAAAAACAATCAGGATTCATTGCAAGACAAATCATATGTGTTACAAGAAAAATGAACATTTCAGGTGTTCACATTTTTTGTATGTTGAAAAATGACCTCATTTGCCAAACATCAGGCCTGTTTAAATGTCCCCTGAATGTAAGCATGCAGTTTTTAGTAGAAGTTTAATACAAGAGAACTTAATCAGATGCATAACTTACTGAAATCTATCTACTCAGTTCTGCTGAGGTGAAACCAAAATTAGTTCCCATGTTTGATCTCACTGGACACAACTGTCACTGATCCAAGAATACATGCCCACATTCTTCCTTGATTAAAGATACTGGAAGGTGTGGATGAAATGCTTAGTGAGTTTACCAGCAGCTCAGTGGCATTAAAAAAATATTGGTAGGAGTTGACAGTAGGAATTAAGAACATGGCATCTTTAGAAAATATTTCTACATTACTTCATATTTGCATTTCTGTTGCCTGCTTTTAAGGATCTGTCCTCAGGTAGTTTGCTGAATCAGACATTGATGTAAACTTTAGAAGAATACCACTGCAAGGATCAAATAAAGGGTCCAGATGACTTAAAATTTACAGGATGACCTATAGATTTTATGCTTTGGGATAGATTTGTGATCTAGAGTAGCTCAAGGTAGGAGACAGAACAATGGAGAGTCATCTGCTTTTATTGCCAATTTAGGACATTTATCTAGTTTTCCAGCACAATAAATAAGTTATTTATTATTGTGCAGTTAAACTATTAATTTTTCCCCCAGACTTTTTTCAATAAAAATTAGTACATTCTACATTAGGAAAATTTGGAAATACTATTATGTATAAACTTGTTTTGTTTTCATTTTTTTCAAAGGTTTCATGGTACAGTATTTTTGGCTGTGTAGCAGAAGGAAATAATAAGAAAGTAAGGTTAAATAACAATAAACTTCCAAATGCAGGAGAAGAGGTAAGAAAGAGGTAAAACTCCTTCAGGTCATTCTCTCTGCCTTTAAAACAACCCAAAATCTTACAAGTATACATCTGATACATTTTTTTATTCAGGTAACTGACAAGGCCTTTGACCAAAAATTTATTTTAAGCAATTGAAATTTTCTAGGTTGAAGGCACACCATAAGCAAAAAAAAGTTCTAGAAACCTTTTTTGATTAATGAGTTAAATGATTCAAAAGCTTCATGTTAGAGAAATCTCTGTCCCTTCTGTTATAACTCTTGTTTGTGGGAGACTTCTAAGAAGTTTTTGGGAGACTTCAAGGCCAGGCTGTATGGGCTCTGAGCAACATGATCTAGGTGTCCCTGTCCATGGCAGGGGTTGGAACTAGATGATCTTTAAGGTCCCTTCCAAACCGAACAATTCTATGATTGTAAGAAATACAAAAGGAAAATAAATACATTATGTGTTTAAAAAGTGTGCCCCAGACACTACTCTTTTCAGGAATTAAAAAAAGAGAAATTCTAAATAGATGTAAATGTAATATTTTTCTGACTGTGTAACTTCTATCAGTTATTTCTTTTTAACAAGACCTTACCTTATTTAATTCTGGCAATACAATAATATAACTCCTTCAATAACCTTCATGTTCAGGCATGATTGACTTCTACAGTCCTGCTGTTTCCCTGTCATGCTGTGAACATGTGGTATGACAAATCATTCCAGACATCTGTGATTACTTATAACTGATCATGTGTCAGTATTCTTTTATATTATTTCTTCATGGCAATTTGATATTTTATTTTCTGATTTTTTTCCCTTTGTGTCTGTTCCCCCTATCTCCTACCCAAAGAGGAAGATGCCTAGAAGACAATGTGTGTGTAGCTACTGGCAATAGAGGCTTTCATGTTCTTCATTTTCGTATTATCAAATCCAGAGAATCAAGCTTCTTGTGATGTACAGTGAAAAAGTTTCAATATACTATCCTGCTTCAGATGAATTAAGTGTTTTTTGAAGACTTTAACCCCAGTGCTAGCTGTTCTTTCTGTGAACTTGCTGCAATCCATCCAAACCATTGACTGCAAGCTATCCAAGCTTCTGGAAGGCATTAGGCATGTGCAGACCTGAGGTTACTCAGACATCTTAGCACTGGAACTTCTGGTTGCTTAAGGATATGCTTTTGCAAATGCTGATCTACAGAAAAAGTCACTATCTGGCTGATCCATGGAAAAGGTTTAGAATCCTTGGTGGTGGAATGATGTATCAACTTATATACATGAGAAAAGACTTCTTTAAGGGGTTAATACTAATGGTCTTACACTGATTTCTGGTCTGCTGGTTCAGGATCCAGCCCCAGCATTAAAGAGATTTCTGTGGTTCAGAGGTCTCCTTATGAAGGCCAGACTGAATAAGAGCACTGTGTTAATGCTACATTGAAATACTTTGTTTATCATGTTGTGACACTGTCACAGCCAGTTGTTTGTTGTTTCAATAGCCTAAAAATTTCCTTTGGCTGAGTTGTCCTGGTTGTGGATGGCAAGGTGGAAAAGCATGTAGGGGCAAGCTATGATCTAACAGTGCAGGTGGACAATTAGTTGAAGGAAAAATAAAGATAAAATTTTGGAAATATATTGTTTATGTACACATTCACTATATACATGTTCACAAACTTTAAAAGTCCTGTTAATGATGTTGAGAGGACCTGAGACATCCTCTGCCCGTATCTAATACATGCATGTGGCATGGATAGAGGAGATCCATATACTCTTACTCTGGAAGAACAGCTCAGGGCTAGAATGTCACCATCTCAATGACTACAAGCTTGCACACTCACAGTATGAATGTGCAAATAGACAAAAAGGTGTTAGAGAAGCTCCAGATCCTGGTACTTCACTCTTCTCTTAGGCTATGTGCTCTGTAACTGCATTCCAGAGAAAATTGATACTTTCCCCCCTGTCATTTCATTGTTTTCTCATTGTCTTCAACAACTTAGTATTATGTGGAATTATGACCAGTCTGTCGGTCAACATTGTACTTTGTATCCCAGACCATTACATAATTTGTTTAAAAGTAAAATTTTTAAGTTTGAGATTTGGTTTTGATATGTACCGTTGATGTAACTAGAATATATTTTTATTGGTAGATACCAGCTGATGACAAAAGCCTCTTGGAAATACATGGCTTAGATCCCAATGAGAAATACATATTTGCAGTTGCAGCATATTCTTCTGACGGAAAACTTATTGGTGATAGCATTGGGGAAACAACTAAGCCAATCCTTGCTTACCCACCTCTTTCTGCCACTACTGTTCGAGCCTATCTGGTTCAGGTAGGGTCAGAGTCTTTGATAATAAATGCATAATTTAATTTGGTTGTAACTAATTGTTTTCACTGACAGCTTTAAATCTGCTGGTAAAACTCAAGGCTTCCTTGCCAAAAGCTTGACTAGCACAAGTCACAATTTTAACAAAACAAATTATATATTTGAATAACTCAATTCTTAATTCAAAATTATTAGAAATTCCAGTTTAAGGCAAAAGATGTCTCTCGGCTAGTTTTCTTATCCCTGTTCCTGGTTTTCAGTCTTCATTTAACTTCTGTTTTATTTTTTTAAATCTATTTTTTCATTTGTAATCAAGACCAAGTGCTAGAAATAATCTTATTAGTCATTACAGTATAGGATGAAAAATGTGACTGAACTTACCAGGTATCAAATCCAACCATTTTCATATTGAAATTATTTTTGTAGTGTCTTGTGGAAAACCACAAAGGCTTTGTCAGACCTATAAAAAAATGTTCTGTAGTCTTAATAAAGAAAATTTAAAACAACTAGTGGCATGGAGAAAAGTGAAATTGTCTAGCCCTACAGATGAGATCACAGGGAACTGTTAGAAGATTTCCTAAAATCTTTCAGAGTAAGAATCCATATGAATTTATACCTATTTGTGTGACTCCATTTACATCCTATTATCCAGAGCACCAGGGCATTCTGCAGAATTAACAAAATTAAAATGAACCAAGAGAAAGCAATATGCCTTCAAAAAACTGCAGCACAATACCTATAAAGTATTTCTCAAAGGGCTGCTAGAGCCTTGGATAATAGTCAAGAAACTCTTTTGCCTTCTCTGATACTAATTCTGAAGTCAAACTAATAGTAGGATTAGATTGTTACTATGTGTGTTTTATTAAAATATGTAAAAATATTCTTACAGAAGCTGTAAAATTACATGTCAGAGGGAGTTTAAAAACTTTTCTTGCTATAATCATATTTGGCTTGGTCATTAATGAACATGGAAACCTGACATTTTGTTGTTGTTGGATTTTTTGTAGGTAGCCTATCAGACTGGCAACTATACATTAGCCAGAGAAGTTTTTTCACCAATGTGGGATTATTTTGTTTCAAATTCCTCTTCACTTCCTGCCAATGCAGCTGTTATTTCTGCAAGCAATAATTTGACTGTATCTGTGAACAGGTAATGTGCCAGAACAAAATTGAAATAATAGTTAATTATAGATGTGCACATATTATTTTAAAGAGTACCAGGTTGTGAAATCTTGTTCAGACTTGTGATATGAAAAACATTCTGGAAAAAAATGTGTGAAATGAGTTATAAAAATATAGTGTTTTATAATTTGAAGAGGATTTTGGTTATTTATGGAAATGCTAGCATGGCATTTACACACCTAATTGTTTATAATTATTGGTTTTTTACCATAATTGGGAAACATTTATAAAGTAGCTATTAGTTCTGTGTGATGCATTTTTATATGCAAAATATGTAACAGGAACTGGGTTCTTGACTTTTAGCTCCAATTAAGGGAGCAGTAGAGTTCAGAAATTCTGAAAATTTTGTCAAGAGCACCAGTTAAAAATGGGTAAATGCTTGACAATTTTGTTTTCGGATGGTTATATAAATTTGCTAATAATCTTTGAATATACTGAATTACTTTAGAAGAAATATTTAAAATTAATTAATTTATAAATAAATTTCAAATGTTCAACCATAATACTATTGTTTGTTCATGATGACAAAGCACAGCTAGAAATGTTGTGATTACATTCACTGAAATTCAATATGCAAAAATAAATAAAAACTTAATTAATTCCCAGACAAAAGAAGGAGACTTGTATAAAATCATAGACATGAAATGCTGTTTAAAAAAGAATACTTTTAAATGTTAGCCAACTGCTTCTAATTGATGATTAATTAGCATCCAATATAATTGAACACAAATGTTCATCTTCACTTGTGTACAATCCTTTTTAGTCTAATTCTTTCATTAAGTAATTTTTGGGAAAGTGCTGGAGAGATGAAAGAGTTTTGCAGCATCTCTATTTCAGTTTGACAGACTGGCTCAGTCTTGAAACCATGGTGATAAAAAGCAACCTTATTGCGTGTGTGTTAATAGTTCATGAATACTTCAAGAATTAAAGAAGAAATAAAGAAATCTAGGTCTTTATTTCAAGAAATAGATATTAGAGGGATCTTTTTGCTTTTCTGACAATTTTGTCCAAGCATATTTTTAAATTTAATTTAAGTTTATTTTAATTTGTTATTTTATTTCATTTTTTACAATTAATATAGAAGACTCTCAAAGCTGCAGTAAAAGAACTGAAATGAGGCAGTCTCAGTTTTACAGATCGGTCACTAAGAAATTAAATGGTCTAATTTGAAAGCACATGGGACTTAAAAAGACAGTAGAGGGTGCTGGAAGGAAAGGAAACCTCTTTTTTCCAGCCAGAAGCTCTATTGATATCTTGGTGATGTCAAGTACGTATTGTCCTTCTTGAGTTTCAGTCTCTTTTAGGAAATAGAACAGAGGAGGATGATGATTTTTTTTTCTTATACTTCAAAATAATAGGATTTTTCCTGTAACAAAAGTGTATATAAAAAATATAACAAGGACAAACACCCTCCTACTTCCACCCATGGAAAAAAAACAACAAAACAACAAACCACAGACAAAAAAGCGGGAAGACGAAGAGATTCTTTTGAGACTTGTAATACAAGACATCACTGATGAAAAGGAGTCATAGAATCATATAATCATTAAGGTCGGAAGGGACCTTAAAGATCATCAAGTTCCCATCCCCCTGCCATGAGCAGGGAACTCTACCACTAGATCAGGTTGCACAAAACCTTGCCCAACCTGACCTTAAAAACCTCAAAGATGAGGCATCAACAACCTCCCTGGGCAACTCATTCTAGTTCCTCACCACTCTTATAGTGAAGAATTTCTTCCTAATATCTAACCTAAATCTCCCCTCTCTCAGTTTAAAACCATTACCCCTTGTCCTATCACTCCCTCTGGAGTCTGTTACTAAGATTTAAATCTTAGTAACAGACTTCACAACTGCATGCATCATTGTCCTAATACAGAAAAATAATGTGTAAAAAGAGACAGTTAAAGTAAATAAGCTGTAGCATCTCAAAGTTTCAGATAAAGTGCAAAGTAAGTTTCATTGAATTAGATGAAATAACTAGGGAAAACATGTCTTAGGATAGTGGAAAGTGTACCAAAAAAGGGATTCTTATCCCTTTCATTTATTTTTTATGTTTGAAATTGTAAGCATTTTTTCAGTTTTATGTATAAATTTTATTTCCAGAAGTAGCTACAGTAATCCTGTTTGTCCATAATTTAAAAAGTTAAGGTTGCATTATAATATAATGCAGTTTCAGGCATGTGATATCTGAATCATCATTAACATACTTTTGCTGTTCTGTTACTCTTATATTTTGCAGGTTACGTTTTGAAGTTCTACCTCAGACTTCTCGTATTACCTTGCATCTCTTTCTGAGGAATATATTTGCTATTTGTGACATTAATGTAATGGAAAGAGAACTCTTCTGTGATTCTATCTGTTCCAGTGAGATACTTTATAAGGAACAAGTATGTGTGGCTTAGTATAATGTACTGGATTTGATTGTACTTTTTGATCACCTCTGTTTCATCATTGCAAGATAAATGTTGCAATGTACTAATCCTATTTACAGAATACTTCATTTTCTGTGAGTTACCTGGTGTGCCTTTCTGAATTATTTTGGTAGCTGTTGGTTATTTTCTATCCTGGAAAGGTGGTTTCTGAATCAAGTTACTGCCTAATCCAAAACCCACTAATGCCAGCGGAGGGATGATTTTCTTTGACATCGGTGGTGGTAGACTATAATATAAGGAAGTAGAATAATCATTGTAATTTCTTTTCTACTAAGATGCACCTTGTAGTTTTAATTTTAAACTTTTCTGCTACTTAATGTATTTTCATTGATACTGAACTTCTAGCAAGGTTTCACGGTTTTAGTATCCTAAGCTTCTTAGTATACTTTAATATAGAATGACAGAAAGGTTTGGGTTGGAAGGGACCTTAAAGATCATCTAGTTCCAACCCCCTGCATGGGCAAGGACACCTCCCACTGGATAAGGGTGGTTCAAACCCCATCCAACCTGGCCTTGAACACTTCCAAGGAGGGGGCATCCGCAGCTTCCCTAGGCAACCTGTTCCAGTGTCTCACCACTCTCACAGTCAAGAATTTCTTCCTAATGTCCATCCTAAATCTCCCCTCTTCCAGTTTAAAACCATTACCCCTCATTCTTTCACTATATGCCCTCATAAAAGTCCCTCCCCAGCTTTCTTGTGGGCCCCTCCAGCTACTGGAAGGCCACTATATATTAAGTTTCTTTTAATATACTAAGGCACTTTGTTTCAGAATTTCTTATAGTATAATGGCATGTTAATGACAGAAAATATAATCCTTTTTTAATTGGATAGTCAAGCTTTGCCTCCTGAACATTCCTGTTCTTCTTTGCTGAGTACTTGTTGTGTAAAAATGTGAGCAGTAAATTATATGAGTAAATTCAGAGGGCACAGCTAGGTCAAGAACAATCTTTACCTTAGAATCATGAATAATGTTGCATTTGTTTATATGCTTCTAACAGGTGTAAATGTAAATTCATTTTTAAGCTTTTACCTTACTTGCTGCTCTATGCTGCTTTTTAAACTGCAATAGCATCTGACTTCTTTCTCTCTCAAATAGTTTAAAACAACAGAATTCATATGTGAATCAAAATGTGTTTTTCTTTTGCAGGTTGCTAGATTAGCAGAATGTGAAAGACTGATGGTGGCAATTGAACTTAGCAATTGGTTGAATAATGCACGTTACACCCTGCAGTCTGTTGTGCAATGTTATGGTCTCCTTGCTCCAATTATTTATCACAAGATTTCTTCAGTACAAGTAGTTCAGGTGAGAGTGTTCTAAGACAAAGCAGCTGGCATCCAAGTCCTGCAGTTATAGTAATTAAAATTAAACTTATAGTTTACTGTGTAAGAGATAAATATCTAGGCTTCAGGTTTTTTGTAGTTGCTGAAATAAAATCCTTTTACGGTTGTATGTATTCCCAATGTGTATATGTTCAGTGTGAGCTGCAAAGATTGTGCTCTCAGATATACTAAAGTAACTGCAGAATATTGATTTTTTCCTCAGGATGAGCACCTTTTCTTTGAAAACAGAGTACCTGAATTATTTTGTCTCATTTCTGAAGCAGCAGACTTTTTTTTTAATTATTTTTTTTTATTCAGCAAGGATACAGTAGAAATGTGCAACTTTTCCCCTATAATTAGGTAGTTTTGACAGGGAGCAACAGTAAGAGCATGTTTGTTCCATGAGGAAGGATGAGGTGACTGCAGTGCAGGCAAGACACAGAGTAGCTGCATCTGCACATGGCAGACAGAGCAGGGTGTTGGTAAGAGGATCCACTGACAGTCCAGAGAAGGTGAAGTTATTGGGCTGGCCCAGGGTCCATCCAGGAGAAAAAGTCAGGAGTGGCAGGAGTTGGAGACAGAGACAAGGCTACAAAACAGATCCAAGATCCATCCAAGAGGCAGAACTGAAGACCAGCTCACCAATATTATAGCTCAAGCAGGGACTGAAAGCTCGTGTCTGAACTTAATTGGGACTCCTCAGGGCCTGGGCAGAAGATGTGAGAAAAGAGCCCAAGTGAGACTTCTCAGGGAATGTCTTTTGGGGTGCTCAGGGCCCTGAGAAGATTTTAGGAGTGTTTAGAAAAAAAAGTTAATCTGTTTACATACAGGGATACCCTCTTGCTTAAGGAGTTGTTGGCTATGGGGACCTTCAAAAGCCACTGGAGATGGCTTGTGGTTCATATTTCCCAAATAAAGGGAAAAATAATATAGTCCCATGCTTTTTTGTGTCTGATAGACAAAAACGGGGGAAAGAAGTCTTAATTTTAGAGCACACCCAAAACATTTTTCTTTCATTTAAAATTCTGACCAGCTCAATATGTTTTTAAGCAGTCCTCTACTAGGGGTAGCTCATCTCACTGGATTAAGCATTCTTTGATTTCATGTTAATTAAATCAGAAAAAATATATGTCATGTATCTGTAATTTAATATCTGTGTTTTTATGGGTACATGCCATTTATTCCAAAGGGCTGGGGTTTAAATCTAGACATTATTAATGTTAATGGAAATTTTCTTATTAGCTTTTGTAGCACCAGTTATTTCATCCTTATATGATAGATTTCAGAATATTTTAAAGTTCACCATCAAACACAACAGGCTGTACAGAGGTAAAATTTTCTAAGTGTGTTGCAGAGTCCAGGTTTTGTTTTAACCCTTGTTTTTACAGATCCTCATTAAATGCTTGGCTGTCCTTCAAGAAATCCCAAGTGCTACTTTGCAGAGGAGGCAGGCAGGATGTTATGAGAGCATTCAGCATATGATTGCTTGTACCTCATTTTATACAGCAAAGGTATGGTGGGTATTATTGCACTTACAGCTTAGTTTAAGATATAGCCCTTGTCATTCAGACAAAAAAAAAAAAGGATTTATTAAGCTTGCCTTCAAAGTTATATCTTAGAGAATAGTCACTCTTAAATAATAAAGGCATAGAAACATATATTAATACCTTTGTATCAGTGCATTTTAGGTAATAACAAAAATTTTACTTTCTAATAGAATTGAGAATGTTCGTTTGTTCAGAAAATTGACTGAATCTGTTAGTCCATGACATGAAATCTGTATTTTATATCATTGTGTGTATTTTTACATTTAAGGTAGTACTATTTTCAGTAAGGCCTTATGTAATATATAAATTTAAAAGTTTATTTACTGAAAATAGGGCATATTTGTAGTTTTAATCTGATTAGTCTACCTGCCTTACTTGCTACTTAGATACAAGAGACTTTGTACTGTTTAGTCCCATGTGCTGGCAGGAACCTGAACACCTTGATTTTTAACCACAGTATACATCTGTAGATCACATTTATGATTGAGATATTCACTTTATTTAGTGAGATAAGGAGAAATTTGCTACTAGTAGGATTTTTTTCTTAGGCATAGAGACATGCTAGAGTTAAAGTACCTACCATGAGAAATATGTCTTCTGGATTTCAGCACATCTCAGCTAAGAGCTCATAGTGGAGCTAAGCTGTAGCTAATGCTTTGGGGGATTCCCCTATGTTAGCGATCCCTCACCTGGTCTTCACAGGAGCTGGATCTCTGTGCTCACCTCACCAGACCAGAGCAGTGTCAAGTATCCTTAAAAGTGCACTGCAAGAAAGCCCAGATTTCATTCTTTCTATAAAGATGCGTATTTTAAGCCCTGGTGTTGTCGTTTTCTTCATGTTAATCACATAATTCATAGCAGTGAGGGCAGTGCAAGGGAACGGCAAGGGCTGGGGAGCCAGGAGCTGGGGGCAATGCAATGCCCAGCAGGGCAGCACTTGGCAGTAAAGTTCAACCAGGAGTCCAGATCATCAGATGAGTTTGTGGTGATGAGGAAGGTCTGACCTGAAGCTGGGAGGTCAATCTGCCAGTCAGAATCAAGTCTGGTAAGAGGAGCTAAGGTGAGACACAGCTGAGCAGGCTGGTCCATCGTGATGGGAGCAGTCCGAGGTCTAGTTGAGGAGTCACTTCATGCATCAGTTGTCCAAACAAGTGGATCCATTGGCAGGCCCAGGGAAGGCTTGTAGCACACTGGAGACCAGCATTCCTTCCACATAGGCGCTGGCAGGAACTGTAGGCCTCAGAACTCAGCTGAAAGGGACCCCTGGTGCCATAGTGGGAGGGCCCAAGTGGAGGCTATCAAGGCCAATAAAACCTATTAGCAACCTTGGAACCTTGATATAGTAGTTGGTTGTTGTTGAATTCCCCAGGTAAATGACTGCTTGTATTGCTGTTTTGGTTTTTTTCCTTAGAGAAAGCATTTCAACAGAATAGTGTACAGAATAGCAAACAGAATGAGCAAATTGCAAATGCTTCTTATTAATCCATGTGTCCTGGTTTGAGCCAGGATGAAGCCAATTTTTCTTTTTACTGATTTTTTTTTTCCTTCAGCAAGCTTTCTTGTAACTAGCAACAGTGTGTTCTGCTAGGCTGATAAGACAGTGGAATGTTTTTCTAACTACTGAGGCTTCAAGGCCGCACCTGCACTCTGCTGGCTCAGACACTATGGGGAGATCTGTGACCCCCCCGTAGGAGGTTGAGTTAGACAGACAGCAAAATTGGCCAAAGATATTCCATTCCATATATCTACGTAAGCTCAGAGGAAGGTCAGAGATCACAGAAGACAACTTCCTTCCTTCTTTTTCTCCCCTTCTCTTCCGTCCATGGCCGGTGTCCGGGGAGGACTCTGTTCATCCATCACCGTCGACCCTTAGGCTCGAGATCTCCTGACCCCCATAACTCTCTGCTCTTTCTCCAGCAGCAGCTCTGGGATTCCTTGGGACTCTTCCCAGTTCAGGGAAGTGCTGTGGGAGTTGCTGGGGTGGGGGGAGGCGAGAGGCTTTTGCCCATACCTGAATATATCTGTACATAATTGCATATATTTTCTTGTATCATTCATTAGTGTTTTAATTAAAGCTGTGTAGTTTAGTTTTCAATCCAGCCAAGTCTCTCTCTTTTTCTCTCTCTCCTTCCCTACGTGGGTTGGGGGGAGGGGGGATCGAGAGCATTGTTGTCGGACCTGAGTCAAACTGTGACACCATGGTATATGGTTTTCTGTTGAGGTACGGTCAGGCCATGTGTTATCCTAAAGGAATCTGTACACTTATTTTCTATTCCAAAGACAAACATCCTAACATGAAGTTACCTTGCATATAGAAGAAGCATTTTGGCCTTTAGAACTCTGTCTAAAGAAGATAAAGTCATCTAAAAACATTCTTTACTCTGTTAACGTCTAAATGTCATCATTTAAAAAATAAATTTCACCACTCCTTTCACTAATACAGTTGGGATTTTCCCGTGTGCAGTCAATACCGGAAAGGTAAATGAGGATCATTTAGTTACCCTTTGTGTTCTTTGATAGGAGTACTGCCTGAGAGCAGGGAGAATGTCAATCACAGCAGTAGATACTTCTAGTTAAATCTTTTGTTTTTCAGAGAGGTAGGTTAAGCAGAAGTAGAACACATAGATGACATCTGCAATGCCAATTATTTTACAGGTCTATAGTACTGTTTTTTTAATGAAAGGAAACTTAAGTATTAATTGATTTCTATTTATAGAATCATGGAATCATAGAATCATTAAGGTTGGAAGGGACCTTAAAGATCATCAAGTTCCAACCCTCCTGCCATGAGCAGTGGTAGGGAACCCTACCACTAGACCAGGTTGCACAAAACCTCATCCAACCTGGCCTTAAAAACCTTCAGGGATGGGGTATCAATAACCTCCCAAGGCAACCCATTCCAGTTCCTCAGCACCCTTATAGTGAAGAATTTCTTCCTAATAGGTAACCTAAATCTCCCCTCTCTCAGTTTAAAACCATTACCCCTTGTCCTATCACTATCTTCGCTGATTAAAAGCTCCTCCCCAGCTTTCCTGTGGCCCTTTAAAGTACAGGAAGGCCACTATAAGGTCTCCCCAGAGCTTTCTCTTCTCTAGGCTGAACAGCCCCAACTCTCTCAGCCTGTCTTCATAGCACAGCTGCTCCAGGCCATTAATCATCTTGGTGGCCCTCCTCTGGACCCTTTCCAACAGGTCCATGACTTTTCTGTGTTGAGGGCCCCAGAACTGTACACAGTACTCCAAGTGGGGTCTGACTAGAGCAGAGCAAAGGGGCAGAATCACCTCCCTGGCCCTGCTGGCCACATTTCTTTTGATGCAGCCCAGGATGCAGTTGCTCTCTGGGCTCCAGCGCTCACTGGCGGCTCATGTTGAGCTTCCCATCTACTGCCACCCCCAAGTCCTTCTCCTCGTTGAGGGCCCCAGAACTGTACACAGTACTCCAAGTGGGGTCTGACTAGAGCAGAGCAAAGGGGCAGAATCACCTCCCTGGCCCTGCTGGCCACATTTCTTTTGATGCAGCCCAGGATGCAGTTGCTCTCTGGGCTCCAGCGCTCACTGGCGGCTCATGTTGAGCTTCCCATCTACTGCCACCCCCAAGTCCTTCTCCTCAGGGCTGCTCTCTAGCCATTCTCCCCCCAGCCTGTATTTGTGCCTGGGGTTGTGCTGACCCAGATGCAGAACCCAGCACTTGGCCTTGTTGAATTCATGAGGTTGGCACTGGCCCAACTCTCCAGACTGCCAAGGTCCCTCTGGATGGTTTCCCTTCCCTCTTGGGTGTCAACCACACCACACAGCTTGGTACCATCAGCCAACTTGCTGAGGATACACTCAATCCCACTCTCTACATGCTCTCATAAAAAGTCCCTTCCCAGCTTTCCTGTAGGCCCCCTTCAGGCACTGGAAGATTGCTATAACGTCTTCCCAGGCCACTAAATTTTCAGGCATGATTTGCCCTTGGTGAAGCTATTTTGGTTGCCACCAACTACCTCCCATTTTTCATGAGCCTTAGCAGAGCCTTCAGGAGGATCTGCTTCATGATCTTGCTGGGCACAGAGGTGAGACCGACTGGTCTGTAGTTTCCTGGGTCTTCCTTTTTCTCCTTTTTAAAAATAGGGGCTATGTTCCCTTTTTTCCAATCAGCAGGACCCTCACCAGACTGCCATGACCTCTCAAATATGATGGACAGAGGCTTAGCAACTTCATCTGCCAGCTCCCTCAGGACCCGTGGGTGAATCCCATCAGGTCCCATAGATTTATGCACCTTCAGGTTCTTTAGATGGTCACAAACCTGCTCTACACCTATGGTGGGGGTAATTAATTCTCCCAGTCCCTGCATTCACCTTCTGTAGCCTTTGTGTTGAGGTTGGAGCACTTGACAGAGAAGACTGAAGCAAAGAAGTCATTGGGGACCTCAGCCTTCTCAATATCCTATGTTGCTACCTTGCCTGTTTGCTTCAGGAGAAGGCCTACACTCTCCTTGGATTTCCTTTTCTCCCCCAACATACCTAAAGAAGCTTCTCTTATTGTTCTTAACATCCCTGGCAAGATTTAATTCTAGCAGGGATTTGGCTCTCCTAACCTTATTGCTAGCTGCTCAGACAACCTCTCTGTAATCCTCCCAGGATACCTGCCCTAGCTTCCACCTCCTGTGTGCTTCCTTCTTCAGTTTGAGCTTTTCTAGGAGCTGCTTACTCATCCACACCGGCCGCTTGGAGTTTCTACTTGACTTCCTTGTAGTTGGGATGTAATGCTCTTGGGCCTGGAGCACGTGATCCTTAAATATCAGCCAGCTTTCTTGGGCCCCTCTACCCTCCAGGATGTTGTTCCAGGACACTCTCTTGAGCAGATCCCTGAAGAGGTTGAAATCTACCCTCTTGAAGTCAAGGGTAGTAAGCTTGCTGTGAGGCCTCCTTGCTGCCCTGAGAATCTTGAACTCCATCAGTTTATGGTCACTACAACCTAGGTTGCCCTTGAGTTTAACATCCCTCACCAGCCCTTCCTTGTTGGTGAAGACAAGATCCAACACAGCACCTCTCCTTGTTGGTTCCTCGATTACTCGGAAGAGGAAATTATCATCCTTGCACTCTAGGAACTTCCTGGATTTTTTGTTTTGCATAGTTGGTCTTCCAACACATATCAGGGTGGTTGAAGTATCCCATGGCATGTGAATGTAAAGCTACTTCTATCTGTCTATATAGTGCCTTGTCTATATTATGCTCCTGCTCAGGTGACCTGCAGCAGATCTCCAATGCAATGTCACCTGTGCCTTTCTTCCCCTTAATCTTAACCCATAAGCTCTCTGTTGGCTCCTCAGCCATCAGGAGGGAGACCTCCATGCACTCCAGCTGGTAACATATTGATAATATAATATAATATAATATAATATAATATAATATAATATAATATAGTTAACTATATATATATAATACATATAGTTCATATAAGTTATGCCTTTTGTCAATTATAAGTAGACAATAATGAAACATTGCATGTTATGCAAAACAGAAGTATATAACAGAAGATTCTTTAATAGGTACTACGTTCATGGAAGGAATATGATCTAGCAGTAATTATTGTTAACTATGGGAAAAAATTGTTGGATTCCTCAGCAAGATCCTCACCCAGTCTGTCAGAAGCTATGAAAACTGAAGAAAAACATACTAAGAAAGATGTTAAGGTAATTGCTCTTATTTTTATTTTTTCTTTTCTCTAAAAATTGAATTCTATTATTTTGAAGACTACATTTATAACTTCTTGTTTTAAAAGTGAATGTGTAGAATAAGATTTGCGTTTTACAAGAGTTCCCAAAGTACAGCCAAGAGGCTTCTATTTGATTGTAGCCATCTGTGTTAGAACCAGTTGCAGATTGCAGTGGGTACAAGGTCTCACCTCATTGAACTGGAGAGGGCTAAGGAATATCGCAGTTCAGAGCTGTGAGGATCCTGCAGATACTTACAGAATCATAGAATCACTTTAGTTGGAAGACACAACCAATCTTCACGTATAGTTTCCAGGAATGCCTTATTAGACAGAAAAATAATTATAAAGAATTGTGTAAATAAAGAAGAGCAAACAAATGCTAAGTAGTATTGAAACTTAGCCTCTCACTTTGTGTAGCAGCTGCTTGAAACTGAGTCATAATGAGAGAATAACTTAGGAATTGTGTAGTGTGTATTTCTCAGTGGAGGAAGAATGTTAAACCTCAGAGACCTTAATATTTCAGTTAAAGAAATGGAGCAGGTTGTGCGGATTTCCTGTAACATAGAATCAGAATAAAGTGTTTATTGTCCATACTCTTTTTTTTTTCTTCCATAATATTATTAGAGATTTTACTGGTGAGTCAATTTTAAAAGGAGGTAAGAAAGTAGGAACAATGAGAAGAAGAAAGGAGACAGTGTGAGCATGGAACTGACATATATTAAAGAAAGTGTCACAAAGTCAATCGGCTTAAAGGGAAGGATTTTTGTAAGAAAATTTATAGGACACTGATAAGATCAAGGACAAATGTTTATCCATTGTTTATAGGTGAGTTTATGTGAGCTGTTCCCACGTTCTTACTGACAAAGAGAAAGGAATCTAGTATCATAGGAATAATATAGTATCTTGATCCAAGTAAGGCTCACTGAAAATTACATTTTCACCAAAGTGAAAAAAAGTTTCCAGAGGAAGATTTTGATTTCCTTAGGCAGTAAATAATCTACAGCATATTATTATTTTCTGGAAAACAACATATTTTGTCAAGCATTCAAATATATTGTAGTAGCATGTGAGACCCCTAGAAATGTATTTGGTGGCAGAGCTACACTCACACCTTTGAGGATCAGTCAAGAAGGAATCATGGAGCTGTACTAAAGAAAAGTTATGAATAGTAGTTTTATTTCGCTTGAAAAGAAATAGAAGACAATATTGATTAATTTATTAGATATAGAATTAGAAGACTTTGCACCTAACCTAAACTCCACTATTGACCCACCAGCTTCACTTAGGTAAAAGCTGTATTTTCATAATTAAATATTGGAAATTTCAGGCTGCTTCTGCAAAGACATCCCATTTAGCTGCAATGCAAAAAGCAACAGAAAATCTCAGTGTTCTTGAAGCAAATCTCCTCAAGCTGACAAAACCAGGTGGGTGTACTATTTACCTCTTCCTATGGAAATCTCAATGGTTTCTTTGTAAAAATAATTTACCTAAGAAGTACTTTTATTTCATGTATCATCCATGACAAATCAGCCAAAATAATAATTTCTTTGATCTTATTTTTATCTGGTAGTGATGTGTATAATGACTTTTATTAATCTTTTTCTTAATTTCTACCAAAATACTCAGTCCTTCCTCGAAAGAAATGGCTGTTTTTGTTCTGTTCTGCATAATATATGTTCTCTCAATCTGTATAAAATTGGTTCCATGTTATTAAGCTTTCCTTATCTTCCTTAATCAGAAACTGCAGCAGCAAAGACCATTGTCCATTTATAGCATATCTGACTAACCTAACAGTGCTAGTAGTAATGACCATTGCAGGAAATTGTAGTAGAGAAAAAGCTTCCTGAAAAAGTTAAGAGAAATCGTGCTTTTTGGGAAGAAATTGCATGTATCCTAGCATTTAACTACCTTGTACCTCAGGAATTAATATATCAACTTTAAAATATCTTAGAGTCTGGATTAAGCATAAGAATTTTCAGGCTAGTAGTTCTGCTAAAGTTAGATGAACTAATAAGTAGTATTTATAAAGGAAAATTGATTAGAGCTTAAGACACAGAACCACGGTGTTTTCCCCATTATATCATCTTGTAATCCTTGGAGCCTGGATAGAATCATAGAATAATTTAGACTGGAAGGCATTTCTGGAATACATGTATTCCAACTCCCTGCTCAAAACAGGTGGAATTAGATCAGGTTGCTCTTGAACTTGTCCAGTAAAGTTCTGAATCTCTCTGAAGAAACAGATTTTGCAGCCTTTATGGGCAACATGTTCCAATAGCTGACCACCCTTATGTTTGAAAAGGTTTTCTTAATATTTTTTTGAATTTTCTGATTTCCTGCTTGTGTCTATTGCCTCTTGTGCTATCAGAGAGGACAGTCTGTCTCTACATTCTGTATTCCTCCTATTAGGTAGGTGTAGACTCAGCCTCCTTCTCAATTCTCAGCCTCTTGCTGTGTCATGCACTCTAGCTCCTTGTCATCTTGGTGGCCCTTCACTGAATTTATTCCAGTGAATATGTCTTTTACTACAGTGTCCAAATCCAAACATTATAATCTAGATATGGTCTCACAAGTGCAAAATAGAGGGGAATAATAATTTCCCTTGACCTGCAGGATATGCTGTTTCTTATACAGCCCAGAATGCAAGTGGTCTTTGCTGCAAGGAAGGGCATGTTGCTGTTATGTTCTAGTTAGTGTCCATCATCTCTGCATATGCATTTTTCTTAGAAGAGAAAGCGTTTCTGTAATAAATAGGATTAAATGAGTGATCCAAAAATTCTATCCATCTGTGCATTGATCCTTCATTTTTTGCTGCTGACATTGATGCCAACATTCCTGCAGAACAAGTTACAGACTGAATAAATTCTGTAAATTAATTGAAAGGTACAGTGATTACTTAATAAAATCTTATTCCATTCTTACTTAATAGAAAGTTAAATTAAGGGGCTGATCAGTTAGAGAAGAACACATTTTCAGTAACTGGCAAATACTTGATGGCTAAGCCCTGCTCTGTTGCTGAAAGAGCGTATTTATCAATAAGCATCAGGATACAAATTGAAGAGGAGACTTTTGCTGAGGATGTTCAAAACATAACAAAGCTTGCAGCTGTCCTTACAAATATTACAATGTGCATGCCTGTAGAGCATGCTGCTAAAAATATTTTGGAGAACACCTTTTAATAGGAAATCCCGAAATGAGGATCAACACTTAGAATTCCATTGCTGATAGTCTACAAGTAAAATAAAAATGAGCTGAGTATGCCTCTTTCATAAGAAACTGAGAAAAAACTAAATATTTCATACACAGCACAATTTACATTCTGAAAATTCAAATGTTTTCCCATTTGAAACAAATGGGAGGTATTATTCTTTGTGAAAATGCTCACTGGAAGTAATATGTTTTTGAACTTGTCAAATAGGAGAGAGTACTAATAAAGAGTGTGACTTGTCATAGAAAGAAAATAAAAAAGCCCATGCTTATCCTGTTGCATTCAGTAGGCTTCAACTGACTGCTGCCACTGGAGGGTGTAGCTATTCATCGTCTATCACAATGGGTTGTTCCAGAGTGCATTTTTAATCTCTTTTTCTCAGGGACCAGCTGCATTGATCTTTCTCAAACACAGAACTTGCCTAAGTACAAAATGTGTAGGTCATGTTTCTTTTGTAAGGCCAAATAGCAACTACCATATGTAATATTGTCCTGGTGCTCATCAGCTGGTAACACAGTTGTGTTGAACTCTCAGAAGCTTGAATCCAAGTTACTATTCTCCTATATACTGTATATTATACTTGTATATATTTATTGTGTATTTTATTTATATCTGTATCTAATGTATTATTTATAGAATACAAATACATTTGTATACATAGATTTATATAACTATTTAGGTGAAGAAAAAGAAATTCCTTTACCTATTTATGCTATCCATATGCTGAGCATGTGTGTAAGCACTGGTCACTGTCAGCATCATATGTTCAGTTCATGCTGTATAGATTAAAACATTTCCTTACTGCAAATCCTCCTCAAGGATGATTTTGTACCTTTTTTAGATGAACTCCAGACATCCTACTCATTAGTCTAGTAGCTGGAAGTCCATCAGGCATATCTGTGAGCTTTTTACTTTTTAAGTGGCACAGCTACTAATATTAGAGGAAAAGAGCAAGCTTTTGAATTTCTTTCTAAATTACAATAATAGGTTTAAAAGCAAATTGCACTACAGACAGATTTTTCTAGTCTTCATTTATGATTCCAGGTAGCATTTCTATTGTACACTATCACTGCATGTCATAATGGATTTTATTTGGTTATTGATGTAGCGTCTAGATCAGAGCTTACAGGACAGGAAGATCCTTTGTTCCTTTACCCTGTAATTTCATGTTGGACATCAAACAGTGCTTATCAAGAAGGTAGGATAATTCATGTTTATTTTAATTTTAAAGGCTTCTTTACTTCAGAAAGTCACCAGTAAAGCTATCTACTTCTTGCTTGGAGTAAGCTCTTGGAAACTTCCTCTTAATTTTATTCTCAGAAATACAAAATCAAGTAAAACATAGCTTAGAAAAGGTTCTTAATATGGTCACATTTAGAAGTGTATTAAATGCTTGCAACAAATTATTTTAGATGCAAATGTTAAGTATATAAAATATGCATATTTAAATAATTTGATTAATGGTTATTTTCTACTGACCTTAAAAATGAGCTCATTTTTAAAAAGTTGTGTCAAGTTTCAAAAATTCTGTTTGTATGAATGTTCTTTTGAATGTTCTTTTTAACTTGAGATACCAAATTTCTACATTAAATTATGTTACTGAAAGAGGAATTCACAAAAGTCTGAGTAAGCCTGTGTTTTTGAAATAAGATTTAAGATTTTGGTATGTGGCCTTTGTCACTACCTTATTTTTTTTTAATAGTAGTCTTTGAAATAACAGTGTATCCTAGCCTGTAATATTAGTGTACCTTTCAGATAGGATCAATATTTATTTGTTGATGGTAAAAAATTATGAAGGCTGCCAAACAGTAAAAGCAGTTTGCAAACAATTAAAAAGCTGCCTAAAATCTAGACAACACAGTTTCACCTCTGCACTGAGAACTGTGTGATGCTTTTAGGCTGATGTGTCTGTCACTGAGAAAAGCAACTTAAGTAAACAGGATACAGTTACTTTGTTTATGCTTGCTTTATTGTTTTTTTCAGAATTTTCAGGCATGTGTGCAATTAGGCATGTTGAATGTCTTTATAAAATTGCATGGGGTACTGCATGCTAAAAAAATAGTTCCAAACCTGTTTGCTCAGTCCCTAAAATATTTGTCAATCTAGGAGTATAAAAAGAGTGAACTTGTGGTTCTGGATGCCTGGTCACAAGAAGTATTTAGCAACAGATATTGTGTATCATGACCTATCTTATTTTACTGCCAGTATGCCTTTCCCCTATCAGTATGCAACATGAAATGAATACATACTTTAAGACATACATAGCTATAGTTATAGCTGAACCCAGAAACTGCTACAGCATAAATGTAAAACCTGTGTTAATTATTTGTTACTTTGTTCCAGTGATGAAATTCAGAAACAATTCACGTTTTCTTGAGTTCTTTGTTCAAGTTTTGCACAAAATCCTGAATGAAGAGAACTTTCAATGTGTTTTGGACTGGGCAGGCAATGTGGAAGATTACTTGAAAAGGTAGATCTCTGTTATAGTAGCACTGAAAACCTACTATTTTGGTTTACCACTGTCACATTTAGAGCAGAAAATGTAAATTGTACTTGGTAGGAATCCCATCTGCAGCTATTTCCATGGCTCCTACTGTGCAGAAGTTCCATGAACATAGGATTATATAGCTACAGAAAATACTGTATTATGACCTGGTTTTACATGGAGACCTCTCGCTTGGCTGTGTCTAATTAAAACTCCTGGTTCCATTGGCAATTTCCAGGATTTTCCTTTGCACAGACACCACTTGGTACTATGGCCATTTGCCATATTATTATGAGGCAGTGGGATAGTTTAGAAAAAACTTGTTGGATTAAATCAAGAGCAAAGTGGTCAGGACCTCCTGTAGCATCTAAAAAATTCTATACTGAAAGAAGTGGAACCAAATTGTAGACACTTACCTAAAAGGTTCCCAAAGAAATTTAACTTTATCTTTGGACATGAAGAAGTTCTTTGCAGAATTCCCAAGTGAATTTGGGAAATAAACTGTTTTGTTTTACTGGAACTTAGGAAGGTGAATAGTTGTTGCCTATTAATTCAGATTTCTGGAATAAACCTTGAAAGTGAGCACTCCCTCTTTTGAAGTGAAAGAGGAAAAGCTGCTGAATTTTCAACTCCCAGTGAAATAGGAATGGCATGTGCTCTATCTGGTCCCAAAGATAACCTTTAACTATGACAGGAGTTTAACATGATGCTGATTTTAACATTATTTGTTTGTCAGGAGAAACGACCAACTTCTTTGTATCGATGGAGCTCTTCCAGAAAGGAAGGATAGACACACTACAGGAGCTGCAGGGGTTCAGAAAGTGAGTTTTACTTTTAAAAAGTTATGTGTGTCTTTACTGGGCAGCAATACCATAAGCACAAACATGAATTTTTAAAAGCTGTATCGATTACACCTGAGCTGGAGACATGCATAATTACTAAAATTTGGGATACAAACTCTAGTCCCTCAGCTCACCTCTGCATTCCTCAAACCAGGAAGAAAAGCTGGCATGGGGCTTATCTGAAAGAGGAATTTGAGATGCATCAGAGTAACGAATTTCAAAGTCAATGAAAACTTGCCTTTCATCAGCTCCCTTTAAAAAACCAGTATGTTAATAGGAAATGCCTTGGGTACCATCAGAAAAGAAAATGAAAAACTTTCTGGAATATTAAATAACTCTTTTGCTGTCTTGTTTTGACAAACATTTCCAGAATTTATTTTCTACTCTGTTCTGTTCCTGCATAAGCCTAGAGGCTGTATTCCTCAAGTAATTGATAATGTAGGTATAAATAAGTATTTGAAGTATATTTAAGATTTTAATGGAAGATTTTTTTTAAAGAATACGAAGACCTCACCTTTAAAGAAAGAAGCATCAGCTTTGAAGAAAACAGGAAAAGAAGCCTCGCGTTCTGTTCCAAAAAAGGGGACTCTTAGACAGTATTTAATGAAAAATCCAGATGCACAAAGGTAAATGAACATAAGCTGTCAGGTTCATATGCAGAGCTAAAATATTTTGACAGAAATCTCGTTTCCAATTAAGTGTGTATTTTAAAACTTTTTTTCTGTCAAAGGGATGAATTTGTGCACAGTTCACTCCCTTTTCTCTTTTAGTTTGATATAAAATGGGCTTCCACTCAGGAGAACAAAATCTGTCTCATCTCTGTTTCAGAGAATAACTGTTGAAGATTGTGAGGTATTTGTATTAATAATCAAAGACTGTATTTCAGTTGTGTTGGCTTGAGCATGTTGAGTCATCATGGTGGAAAAAAATACTTTAATCTGCATACTGTAAAGCTTTTCAAACTGTGTTGGGGAGTTTACCTGTTAGAAATCTAACACAGGATGTTTCTCTTTTCCTGATGTTCTCATTTCAGAGAGACTTTTGTCATCCCTTTCTAGCCTTTTTAGATTCTCTGTAGCTTTTGGAAAACTGTTTCTTGATAGAAAAAATGAAAATTCAATCACCTCTTTTGGCAGATTATTGTATATATTTGGTCAACTCATTAATAATAGTACTTTCTGACCCAAAATAATTTGTAGTATTCATAACCTGGTGCTTTGGTCACTTACGTTTCCAGCAATTAGCAAGTAAAAAACCAGAATTATCTGAACACAAGCAATCATACAACTGATTCTAGAAGTGTTTAAAATAACCTCAAAAAAGTCTTCTGTACACTAAGTATTTACCTAAACTGACCATTTTTCCTTCTTGACAGGAAAAACCTACCTTACCTAACATAATTTTCATGTCTTTGATTGGAAGAGGGGATATTTAACTTATTCTGGGCTTCTTGCTTTTTCAGCTACTCTTTGGTATCTTACATAATAATATTAATCTATCAGCGGTGCATATGATATACTGTTCTGCCCACATTTTAAAGGTGGAAATCCAGCAGAAAAATAATTTAGATTGATAAAGGGATCTGTTTGCAGTTTATAGAAATAAAGAAAAGAGATTTGATTTGGCTACATCATTGTATGTGTGCCAGGCAGCACAGAACTGTTTGATCTGGCAGAGAAACTTAGAAAAATCTATGGCTGGAAATTAAAACCAGGCATACACATTTGAAATAAAATGTTTTCTCACAGTGAGGATGGTTAGCTACCAAAACACAGCAATAAAAAGAATGATCCACATTTATAGTGTAATAGTAGACCTTCCATCTCCTGAACAGACTGTGTAAAACACACTGTGTTAGCTGTAATAACCCGTTTGGATGATTCAGATGCAAATAAATTCAAACACAGAGCTAAGCTTTTTGTAAGTACTAAGACAAATATCTTTGTGAAGTTGTTAAAATGTAAGATGGGATTTTATGTGTTAAGGGCACGTAAAGAAGGAAAGTACAACTCCTTGTTTTGACTGCAGCAAAAATCCTTTTGCTAGAAATACGTCATATCCTTCTGAGTTAATACAAGTCTATGGATACAAAATGGGATGTTTCTGTGTATCTTTACCATGATTTATTTTCTTTTCCTGGAGGTTCAAAGAAACACAGTTTCATATCTAGCTACTTCATATATTTTGATTTAGCAGATGCGACAAAGACTTGCTCAAAGCAGCTCATAACACTTTGGTGATACTGCTGAAACCAATTGTGAGTAGTTACTTAAAACAAAAGAATTTTCATCAAATGTGTCTTGAAGAGATGCCCTGGAGGTCTCAGATGAATATCCATCTGGCACTTGCACACTACAACTTGCTTAAAAAGGAACTGGAAGAGCAATATGGCATTGAAATTTGTGGTTCACAGCATCTGGACAGGTATATCTTACTGCATCATCAGTGATAACTGTTCATGTAGATTATTGTGTTATTGCCATTAATGCAAACAGATCTGAATTACAATATCATCAGTTGGTTTATCATATTCAATATCCAAATGTGAATTGATTTATTATGTAACAAGTTTTGCTTTCCATCATATGGCAGGTGACATGCACATTTTTGGTTGCTCTCTTGACCAGTCAGATGGAAGTTTTGAAATATACTACAATGTGCTGGTTTTTGTTTCCTTACAAGTTTTGGTTGTCATTCATTATTTCTGATTCCTGAAGCTGCTGGATATTAATCAAAATTCACATTTGAGAAACGGAATTTTTGGTGTATATAAAAATTATTTTAAATACTATATCTGTGGGTGTTTTGGTGTGCTTTCTTTTTTTTTAATCTCCCATTCTGCAGTTACAAAATTTTGGATCCTGAAATATTCTCATTAAATAACTCTGGCACTGTAGTGGTGAGAGAAGATGTAGAGAGTAACATGAGAACAACTCCTCCTCTCCTTAAAACGTCAGAAATGACCAAAAAACAAATTGGTAAGAACTTTTAATGGGTACACAACTGCAATCAGTTTCAACTTAACTTTCTCTTTCTCTTAATTTTTATCTTGACCTCCATCTTAGTTCACCACTTCACCTTTGGAAAAACACTAATGTCAATTTAAAGAGAAGATGCTTCTGGATTTCAAAAGTGCCCTCCATATTTACTCGTTTTTTCATACCTAGTATAAAAAAGAAGTCATAGTCAATAATGGGGCATTTATACTAACTCTAAGTCATAACAAGAATTTATATGTTTAGAACTGCTACTACATTAGTGATACTAGCTTTTGGTTTGCAGAAGCCATGCTGCACAGTGCTATTAAACTGATAATATTCCATATTATTCTGAATTATTCTGTAGGTGTTAATTAGTCTGTAGTTTCCTTTAGATTTCTTATTGGGGCAATTGTTTCTTGAGTCAATCTGCAAATCTTTCTGAAAGTTATAGATGGAAGTTATCTTTCAATCTTTAAATAGAATAATTTAGGTTTTCTTTATGTCTTGCTCCCCAGTTTTGTCCTGTGGCAAAGGCTCCCTTTTTATCTTCTATGACTTCTACTTCAGTTATCTGTTTTTCACACTTACTATTCTATTATTCCAACTATTTTGAGTAACATCCATTGAGGTTTCAACAGGAGCTGAAAGGCTCCTGTTTGTAGGTGTCTGTGAAATATAGGACTTTGATTACTTCAGAGGTCGGTGATAACATACAAGTCAGAGCAAAGTAGTCTGCCTGGACACCACAAGTTCCAGAAGAAATCACAAGCCTGGTCTTTTCAAAAGTGCTTCAGGGAACACCTTGCTACAGCTGTAGAGAGCAAAATTTTCCTATCATTCCATGTAGTACTTCCTTAGGTAGGAACCAACCAGCCTTTTTGCCTTTTCCAAGGAAATGTGACAAAAACTAGCAGTTTAATTCACTGGTTCTCTTTGCAACACCTTGTGGTACTATTTTGTCTTGATGCTTACAAGTCACTGAGAAACTAGTCACTGAAAATTGCAGAAAACTAACAGAAATCCTTTGCAGGAATTCTTAATGGAGGAGTTTCATCAAATGCTTCTTCCTGAGACCTATAGCTCAGATATTGCTATATCCCACTATCATAAAAATCTGTGTTTCCCCTTTGAATATTTTTGGTATTGAATAAAATGATTAAGCTATTCTTGACATACCACAGAATTTGTCACACTTCTTCCTGACTTCTCCTTTTAAGAGGCCTGTGTTTCAGAAGGGTTCTTGGGAGCTTACTACATGGTGGTGTCTTCCTAAAACTTAACTTCTTTGAGGGTTGAGTTTTGGCTTTGAGGTTTAAAACTATTTGGTACACAAACCCCCCCTATTTTTAGCCCTGCTTCTTCCAAAACTTAAGTAAAAGCATCTTATATTTTAAACATCATAACCTCATAAATATGATAACCTTAACTTTGGCATTTTCTAACATTCAAGTATTTAGCTGCCACAGGAATATCCTAGCTAGCGGATAATATTTTCTTTTTCATTTTTTTGAGAACTTGGACTCATTTCTAACCTGTGAACTTCTTGTCTTGAGGTACTGGTAAATCTGAGCACAGCATTAAACCCCGTGGAACAGATACTCCTGAAACTAAAAGAAAAAAAAAAACAGAAATATCTGTCTCTCATTCCCCCAAAGAACGCAACCAGGTTCCGTCAAGCAGCGCTTTATTGGAGCGTTTTACAAAAATCTTCTTGCATTTAAGAAGAGCACTGGTAAGATGTGCTTTCTTATGAAACATTTTGTTTATTGCTAAGCATTGCATTACAGTACTTTCTACTATCTACATAGCCAACTCACTTTAGAAACTTCAAAAAAACTTCATTGTGAAAAAACCGTGATTTCTCATCTTCTGCAAAATGTCCAAGTACAGTGTATAAAATGTCAGACATACTACCTATTATAGTGTATATTTCTATCAAACATATAGGAATGTATATAAATGTTTTATTTTTCATTTTGTCTTTGTAACTTTTTCATGCTTGTTAAATCTGTTTGTAAGTAGTTGAAGACTTACCTGTCCCTGTACCAGTCTTAATGAATGCCTTAGTAGCATAAAAGAAGGAGCAGTGATTGAAAGGAAATGCAGAGACTATACTTCCCATAAATGCTTCTAAAACCCAGTTAAAATACATGTATAGGGGGTGTGACTTAATTTTTATTTCTTATTCTCACACCAAAAGCAACAATTAAATTAAGTTGTAAATTAATACCCCTTTGAAAATTTCCAAACAAGGTTCTATAATGCTTTATATACATTGATATATTGAATGATCTTTTCTTAAAGATAATCCATAGGCTGCAGTCTTGAAAGTTTACTTATACCTAAGCTTTGCGATAAAAGAATTAAGCTCTTAATTTCTGTATGTCCAAAGTATAATTATATTTTGAATTATATGCACAGGTTCTTGCTCACCGTGGTGGCCACTGGACTTTGCTTCAAAATGCTTGTCGAGAACTTTGGAACTATACTCAAGAATTACAATTGATTGCTAATCATTTACTTTCCCACATGGCTACATTTCCCATTACCAGGGCTTTTCTTCAGAACACCATATGGTTGCCATTTTATTTAGCATCAGACATGATCATTGATATGATAACTGAACTACAAGCAAGTAGGTCTCTTAAGGTAGAAATAATTTTTTATTAAGACAGTATACTCTTTTTTATCATAACATCAGCAGAGATAGTTTTCTTTCTCTTGCATTATATTCTGGTATTTCCAAGTCATTCGCTGTAAGAAGTTTTTAGAGGTTTACAGTATTTTCTAATCTTTATAATTTTGTTTGAAGCAAAAAATTTTGAAATTAACAGGTAGAATAATGTGTCTTCCCTGTAGATTGTGGATCCTGAAGGAGACTTCTGCATCCCCAGTTGTTTAGGAGGTATTATGGATGAGAACGGTGGATCTAATCTTCATCCACAGTCTCCCTTGGACGATGTGAATGTGCTTGACTTGAAATGTATATGTAATCTGATTCTTAAAACAATAGAATTGTTATATCAAATGGAGAAATGGGAAGCACTGGTACACATAGCTGTACAGTTTAATATATTTACACAGTAAGTTTAAACCAGCTCTAAAAGAACTGAATAGCAATGTTATACAGTTAAATATACCATTATTTTCCTTAATTACTATATTTTGCTTTTTTCAGTGAGAGATACACAGAACAAGTGAGTCCACTGCTGGTGTATGCTCAGAGGCAGCTGCTGAAAAGGATACAGCAATTCAGTGGCCCAGAGAGCCATGAATCTCATTTCGTAAAATCTGTGTCTGATAGTGCACATAAGGTGAACCACAGATTTATTTTTTGGTCATTCACGTTCAATGTGAACTACAAGTAGAGCTGTACATTCACTGAGTAGATTAATATGTTTTTTCATAAAGTTCACAAATAATAAATTATAATAATGCACATAATTGTTTGAAGTGCATGGAGAAAAAGGCTTATATTATATGATTCCATAAGCTGCTCAGTAGGTTTCTCTCATTAAAAGCCACGTAGTAAACTGACCTTGCCACTTGTAATTTTTTCATGACATTAGCTGTTTAAAATTATAATTCACCTGTTTTTTTAACCTAAGGTTTATTTCTTAGAAGTTTCACTAAAGTCATCACACAGTTGATACTTCTAATATATTTCTATTACTAATACAAGCACAGGACTTGAAGGAGAGTGAGGAACGTGAGGTTTGTTCTGAAAGTGAACATTGGTTTCAGGAGTCCATTGCCTTGCCTAGAGGCAGCATACAGGTGCCCAGGGCTCACAGGAACTCAGAAGGTGCTTCTGGCTTGTGAAGGGCAGCTGAGCTGCTCAGTCTTGTCTCTCCGCAAGGCTGTTTCCTGATGACTTCTTTCAGTCCCTGCTCTTCAGAACATGGTCCTTTGTCTAAAAAAAAGGGCAGCGTGACAAACCACTAAATACTGATCATAGTTTTGAAAAAGAACTTGCAGAATAAAGACTGATGTTAGGTAATAGTAATAAGGATTGTTCAAAAAAGACATTATCAGGTTAGAAATGTGGAAGGTTTGGCTACATTTTGCAATGTGGTACCATTCAAAGAGACTAGGACTAGTTCTGAACTGTTTTTTTTTGCTTCTGAAGTGATGTAGCTACATTAGCAAAATAAAATGTCTGTGCTGGATCAGCCCTTTATAGAAGTCTGGAAGTTTGCTTCTCCAACAGGGTTAGACTGCTTCCATTACTTGCTTAGAGCTATTTTGTATAAGGCCACATAGCTTTACATGGTGCTTGACAGGCAGTGTGCTCTTTAGGCATCCTTGCACAGACAGGTTCTTTGTAAGCATGCATTTATCCAGACAAAGAAAGGTGGAATACTTGCTGAACATCAACAAGTTGCTAATGATTATGGCAAATACTAAATAAGATACAAGTTTAATTCATTAGCATCTGAACACTAATATGTTACATCTAATATTTAGGTATGAATGTTTCACCTCTTAGTGACAAGGGTACTGGTTATAGGTCATTTGTGTTTTATAAATTAGTCTTCTTATTTTGTGATATGAATAAGTATTTAGATACTAAGCTTTAAGCACCAAAAATTGATTTTTCTGAATATTTGGCTTTAACATGAAGCAAAACTTCCCCTTTAGATGAGCTGCAGAAAATACATTGAGCAGAAATTACAGCTGCCTGTTGCCTGTTCTCCCCGTGAACTGATTATTCCTGAATGGTTCTTCTCTCCTGACATGGAAAAGGATTATACAGGTCAGAGCACATTTCAGTATTCTTAGTTCTCTTTTCTCCCAACCCCCTCCCTTTTTTTCATACTGGATTTTGTTTTTAATTCCTCCTTATCATAGATCTTCCACTGCTCCTATAATCTGTTTTGTTTAGTATAAACTCAGTTTTGCCTTTGAATTTTTATTCTTGATATTTTGCGGGGATAGTAATCTTGTTAACACCTTTCCAAATATATTCAGAGTGTATCCGAAAATGGAGAAGAGCTGTTGTCATCCAGATGCCAGATGACCTACAGTACTTTGAGTGGTCTTGGTCCAGTTTTCCGCTGGTATTGTTGGATATCCAGCAACATATCCAGAAGTTAATGTGAACCTGCACTGATTTTAATAGACTCAATAGAAAAAATTGAAGTATAAGGTGACAAAAAACCTATTTTGCCAACAGTTCTTATTCTTTCCAGTGGGGATTAAAATGTTACAGTCATTAAAGAAATTTTGTAAAGCATAGTTCATAACACAGAGATGACAACACATTGTACCCAAGGCTTTGTGTGCAATTCACCTGAGGAATGCCATTGAACAATAAGTAATGCTGTATGTAATGTGTAACATACGATTATGCATTCAGAGAAGACAGCATGCTGACTCACAGGTTTGGTACATAGGAGCTATGGGAGTTACCGGAAATGGGATCAGCAGTTGTAGTAAAAGATTTGTTTCCGATCTTCAGACACCAGAATTCAGAGCAGTGAGCTGAGCTGAAGCATGGCCAGTGAAGTTGGAGTTCAGGAAACATAGATGTCACATGACAACTAAAATGTAACACTGAAAAAGATACAAATGCTCAATAGTGTTACCGGTGGTTAATAGTTTTGCTTTAATTCATAAGCCAACATGAAACAAGGATGAACATTACATTAATATATTTTATTTTTTAAGTTGTGGAATTGTTTGAATATAAGTTTGGGGGGGCATGCTTTACTAAAATATATATTTATGTAATGCAAAATTTTTATCCATAATTATTAATTCTTTTTAGATTGTAATCAAGCCAAAGCCCTCGTTTATGTACCTCTTGATGTGAATGATACACTGAAATGTTTTAGAGAAACTCTACAAAATTCTAAGCATCACAGCAGAGCACTGAGACACAGCAGAAAGCTACTTTCATTACTTCTTGCACACACACAAGGTGAGTTATTTGTTGTAGTGTTTCTCATTTAATAACGTGTATATGCAGTTAAAACAGTACAGAGTGAAAGGAATAGATTATTTTAAATTCAAGTTTTAGTTGTTACTGATGATTAGAAAGAGCATAGAAAGGAGAGTTATATATGAAGCTCTGTAAGCACAAGCTCTAAACCTGATTTCCTATGATTTTTGTCTCATGGTTGGATGGTTTGTTTTTTTTAAATCCAGCTCTTTCTGTCTGCAGACAAACTTCAGTCAGAGGGCTAACTGGCAGCTCTTTCCAAGTTTATTTTCTCTAATATGGCACATATATTCATTTTTTTGCCCTGAGCAATGAGCTGTGTCCAAGGAGTTTAACTAGGAGACACATAGGATCACGCCATAGGAAACCAGATAAAAATAGGCTACAGGAATTGTATATTTGTTTGAGTAATGTGGTGTGGAAGTATTTGTGGTGTTGGAAATAGTATAATACTTTTCCAAACTGATTGTATAAATCACTTTTCTGATCTAGAAAACTGTGGAAAAGCAATCAGCAGTAATATCACTTCAGAGAGAAGGGTGACGTTTAATATGGGAGTTGAACTGACATTCCTACCAGCACCATGGGACCTTGCAAAAGAAAAATTTATTTCCTCCAGTATGGTTGAGAGTAAACCAATGCCACCATCGCAGTTCTCAGTAGTGATCTCTTCTTATGAACAAACAATTGGTAATTTTAAAAATAAATTTCTGTTTGCAGTTCAGATGTAGTATCATTCTACCTATCTGCGTTCATGTATGTTTATTCCAGTGTTATTTTCCTCTGTCAGTTTACAGATATACTCAACCTTCTTTCCGTTGATTCAGGAAATCTGCAGTACATCCTAAACAAGCCACTAATTAATTCATAACCTCTACAGTTATCTAATTTTTTAAAAAAGATACCAATTAATCCCCAAATTAAAATCTGCTATAATGTTTAGCAGATTATTTTTCATTCCATTATTGTGGTTTTTTTTTTAGGAATCAGACATTTTCAATTCTGTACATTTGAATATGTGACCTAATTGCTTGGCTTCCATGCTACATTCTCCTGTGGCTTTACTCATACAGTTACAGTTCAGCACTGCTACCTGTTTTTCCTCTGTGACACAATAGGTAAAGTGTAGCAGGTCAACATATGACATAAGTTCTTTTATTTGAAGTAAGAGATCTAGAAATGAGCCAGGGACAGTGCTGCTGTGCAGAGGTCACAGTTGATCTCTTGAAAAGGAACACATTTGACAAGTCTGAGAAAACAATACAAAAGCTTAGGTAAACAGGTCCATAAATACATCCTACTCTTTTTAGTTAGTAGAAAAAAGGAATTGTATGCTTGAAAGTAAAATCTATAAACCTAATAATTCTTTAAAATATTATTAATCCATTCAATTACATGTGAATACATGTCTACTTCTCATGGAAAAAAAAAATAAGATTCAAAAGCTGATTTAATGATGTATTTTTTTTTTCTCCTTGATTAAAAAATAAATAACAGGAATTCTTGAAATAAACAACCAGAGAGAACTCAAGGTTCAGGCTCTACATGAACTTGGAAATCTTCATTTTTATGCTGGAAACAAAAGGTACAGTTACTGGATTAAAAAAGAGCATGGTTTCATTTTTTTTTTTAATTGGCATTCATATGTTGTCTTGAGAGTTCTTGTGCTGTCTTCAGGTCTATATAACTTCTTTCATCTACCTGTCTATTAGATATCTTTTGTGAGACATTTTTGCGTAAATTGTGTGTTTTTCTTAGCTAGCTAATTGCAATTAAGCAAATTAATTAAGCACCTCTTCTTCTTAGGAATTAATATCTATTGTTTGACAATTTAATGCTAGTGTACTGTTGACCATGTATCTTTTTATGTTGTAGAAACTGTATTTCAGTTTTTCACTTAATAAAAATTAGTTCTAACTCAGGCAACAAAGGTAAAATGAAGCAAGTCTTATCTTTCACTTTGCAAAGTGTGAGCAATATGATGAGGACTTTTTTTAATGTGTTACAGAGCTGCTTTTAAATATTGGTGTCAAGCCCTTGACGAAACACTCAACATTGCTGATGCTCTCAACAACTGGGAAGAGTTAGGTTTTCAAAAAAATGCTACAGACTGGTTTGCAGTTGAAACATCTACTGATACTAGTCAGAAATTTCTTTCTCAGGCTGGAGTTTGGGGTTGTTTGCATGCAGCAGTTTTAGTGGCTAAGATAGCTCAGTAAGTATTTTATCTCCGTATGTACGTATTTCATATTTTAAAGGAATTGCTCATCCAGGACAGTAGGCAACTTGAAATTAATTTGAAAACAGTGATAAGTTGCTATGAAATAGACTCATCAAAAGCAGAGAATTTTTTTTCTTTCAGGAAGAAAG